TTTTACCGTCCAAATTTTGAGAGACGATAGATTAGGGTCTAAAATGAAAACATACAAAGTTTGGTTCAGATCAGACTAGGGAAGCCCAATGATCCACTCTTCCCATCCGCAGTGTGTGCATTACTGACTCTAGCCTCAACGTCAAAATAAACAGTTCCACCAAAGATTCTGCATCATCCCCACCCCAGGGAAGAATGCATCCTGCATTTTCTAACAACTGAGTGTACAAAGTGTTCATCAAATGACATTTGTGAAGGGCAGTGCCCAATACTATACACAGTCCCTGCTTTGTTTAGTGGTTTTAAATAACATTTCCTTGATCCACAATGCTGTTTTGCTTGAGATTTTAAAAAGGTAAACTATTAGAAATACTGATATTGAAACAAACAATTACCAAATTTTGAATACAATTTACCAATATATTTTATTGCATATTAATAGGCCTCCCAAACCTTATTATTAATATGCAGGTATGTTTGGTTTGTTAGTAAGGTATTACGTTAGTACTAGAGTGCTAGTACAGGGGTAAGGATTAGGGATGATTTTGGTATAAGTGTAACCAGCAGGTGTATGAGCAGTATGAGAGAAAAGGTTACAATTATGACCCTAATCCATAGCCCACTCAAATCTGTGAGACCTTTTTGAGGGAACTCCCAGCAACCTCATGGCACTCATGGTTGGCAAAAGTCCCGCTTGAAGCTTCAGGTTTGCTGGCACAACAGAGCATGCCCATTATCCTTTTCAATATTCAAACTGCTAGTGCATGCCTAAAACAGCACCTAAACAATTTCAGTACTGTGTCTATTTCGATTTAAATCACCTTGTCAAACAATATTTTTGGCATTGATTTGAATCAATATCCAAAAGAAAATTCAACATGGCAAAACTTGCGCTTTATTCAGTTTTCAGCTGATTTATGAATATGTCTAAGATTTTTTTCACTTTTTCAATGGCAAGTGCACTCTTTGGTACTAACAAGAATTATGACACCAAGGCAGGACATTGATAGAGTGGAGTTCCACAAAACATGACGTCAAACTGACGAACAAAAAGTGACTGGATCCCAGTCTTCAGGCCAGTTTTTTTGTCTTTCTGTTTTAGTTTGAACTAGGAGCAAATTGAGCTATGATTGACATATCAATCAGTCTGGCATGCTGACAAAAAATGGACATCACGGGGGGTGAGGTTTGCGTGGATCAACATGATGGCCTTTAACTCAACATTGGTTTCGGTGAATTTTCGACTTATTCTATTAGACTGGTCACAAAACATTAGAAAAATAAAATGTTTATACTTTAATTGGACTTTTACAAAAAAAAAGGTGTTTATGGATAAGAAAAAAAGAGTTAGTATTCCCTTATTAAGAATAAAATATCCCATATCAACAACGTTTTTCATCATCACAGAAGGATTAACCTGGACATACAGCGAGAGATGTTTTAATTTCCTCAGCCCAAATCTTCACTTACTTGTGTACTGAGTGATGGATGAGCTGACAGCTGGACTTATACCCAAAGTGGTCAAGGTGAATGTGTAGGCCACACCAGGGGTCAAGTTGTCTTGTGCGTAAGGTGCAGGGTTTGGGCTCAGTGTTCTGTCAGCGACCAGAGCGTTGAGCGAGTCCACGACCCTGAGTGTGTAACCTGTGGCACCGGTGGCGGGTGATATTCCTACGACGATGCGCGTGGTTTCCGCCAGGGTGACGTACAGGCTGCCCTGATCAGCTGGGTCTGGAAAGAAATGCAGAATAAACAACAGGGGTTCAGTCTTTGCCAATGAAAGCCAAAGCAGATTTGACTAATAAAAACGGAAACCTGTCAAGATAATACAGCAGAAACTGCAAGTGAAACTGTCTAGTTGGAGAGTCAATACCTACAGAAAAGGGTCAGTGCATAAGCTGTCAAAGTCCCATGTGACCGTGTGGTCGGAGCCATCATTAGGCAAGTATATGGTAATAGCAAGCATATGTTGCATAATGTAAACTTCACAACGAGGCTCATTTTCACATAAATTAACCCCAAATTCTTGATCAAATGGCAATATAGTCACCACTTGAACTACGTAGAGCTGCTGTTATCGTTCTGATCACGCACTGGGTCCTGGTTCTGCATTCCTCTCTTACTTTTTATCATTTATAAAGCTTTGCAGGCTCTTGTCTACTAGGTAAGCACTGTGCGCAGTGCTACGGTCTTTGCATGCAATGAATGCACGTCAAGTGAACAAGGTCACAAGTAACCCTATTAGGAGAGTTGTGTACCTGTCCTGAATGTCCTTGTTGTAACCTGGCTTTCTTGGATCAAGTCTCCGTACTGGCTGAATGTGGTGATGTTGACTTCGTAATTTGTGTTTGGAATCAGGCCGCGGAGTGCCAGCTGTCTCGGGTCATTGCGGGAGACGATCGAGGGGCTGGGTGTGCGCCCAACTTCCCCAGACTCACTGGCGTAGCGTATGTAGTAGCCGTTGTAATTACCACTGGCCGGTACATCCCAGGTTAGGGTGATGGAAGAGGATGTCTGCTCAGGTGAGCTTGCTGTAACTGGCTCAGGATCTGGAAAACAATTCAGCAGAAACACAGTCTCCATGATTACTGTGAATCTTGTGACTGAGTTTTTACTCATAAATCTTTAAGCATCAGTATTCAACATGTTCAATGGTCTGAGATGCAAATGGACAAAAGCCATTTTACTCTAGTTAATTTATACTCAATGGACTGCCTCTTTCTCTTTGGGCATAAAGCTGAATTTCTTATGCATTTGACTACGGAAATGAAAGAACGATCAAATTGACAAAAGTCATGCTGTGTATTTTGTATGATTTGCTTTATAAATCGCATATTGCTAGAATGTTAAAATGATCTTTACTATTCAAAAACATGTTGAAAGACATGGACACTCCTAGGCTTGTGCGATGTATGGGAAAATTTGTACTGATTTCCAAATGATATCATCTTGAACCCTTGCAGTACAAAGTGGGAAAAAAATTGAAATTCAATCGAACGCAAAAATGTAATTGCTACTGACAGAGAATTTCAGCAAACTTGAATACGGGCACAACTGCATGCTGTGTTACTTACAAGTCACAATTTGTGTTTGGTCTGAAAGCGTGGCGATGCCAGAAGCAGACAGTGTGTGTAGATACAAGGAGTACAGCTGGCCGGGGGTCAGAGAGGTCAAAGCGGTCTGCTGGACGCTGCCCCGAACAAAGGTCAGGGGCGACTGCTGGTTACCATCCACAGGGGAGTAGGACAGCTGATACCGGTCAAAAGTGCCCACTTCCGCCGTCCACTGAACGTTGATTGTTGTGGTGGTGAGTGATTGGACGGTCAGTCTTGCAGCCCCTGTACAAAGAGTTTCGGTGAAGATACGTAAATCTTTCGTTGTCAAAAGTATACCAAAGACATAAAGTTCTCAGTAACGACAGCAAGTGAAGTTTTCAATAAACTATAAGAAACACAGTGCTTATCCGTGGCCTCTCATGTAGTGTTACTTACTGGTGGTAAACATCGCTCGAAGCTCTGTACTCTTTTCAGTGGCTGCTAGGTTACCAACCGCACTCCGTAAGACCACAGTGTGCCTGGTGTCGGGCGTCAGGTCATCCAAGGTCACACTGGTCTGGTCGGCCCTGACAGAGGTCATGACCTCGGCCTGTGACCCCTCAGCAGTGTAGACGATCCTGTAGTCATCCACATTACCCTGGGCAGGGAGCCAAGACAGACTGGCCGTGGTAGCTGTCACACTATCCACCATCAGGTTGACTGGAGCAAGGGGTTCTGAGGACAAAGGAAAATGGATTTGGGTTTTGAAGACTTAGGTGGCCTGAACCTCTTGGCTATGGCTTAGAGCAATGCACGCATCAATAAGGAATGCATGAAGCCGCTAGCTGCTAATTGCCATAGGTTCGTGTGTTATTTCTAGCAATATAGACCTTATTTTGGGATAGCCATAACAAATCTTGTTCCCTGAATCTGTGTTATGTCCTCGGGGTACGTCTACTGTCCTCAATGGTAAGTGCCTGTGCCCAGTTTATGGGACGTTAGGAGATAACACTATACATAGTGCCCTCTTCTGGACTGTACAGCAGAGTATGAGTGCGTTTACTCACTAGTGTACTGTGGTGTGACAGCGGACTCGTTGGCTGCACCAGCAAGACGGACTTGAAGGTTGTACAGAGTACCGGAATTGAGACCTTCAAACGAAGCTGCGGTTGGATTTCCTGTAAATCAAAATTTGTAGAACTACTTATGTCTAAAGCACTGAATCAACATTATCACTCTGTGACAGTATTTAAGTCGAGGTAAACATCTTCGCAGGTCAATGAGACATCATCCAGTATCAAGTCCGACTATAAGGTATTTAAATAAACTTGACAACAATATTCCAGAGTCCCTGAACGTCTCGTTTTACTTGTAGCTAAACTTATGACTTGGCTTACGATGGAGTTTTGATTACACTCCATGAGCAATAGTCATGGGCACCAATTGTAGTTAAGGAGCATCAGCCTTACAGCTTGAATTACTTTGGAAAGTCCCATCTGGGTTAGAACTGGTTTAAAAGAACGCAGGAAACAGTCTCTGAAAAACAGATGTTCCTGTGTAAGAGCATTAAACTTCACATGGGCGTGTATCTTCAAATGGGCACAGCCTGTTCTTCGTAGGGAAACACTGAAAACATAGCTTGCTCCTATGGGAAATGTAGCATCCTAATGACAAGAACAGCTCCTCTATCGTACCTCGTGGGATACTGACGCTACGGATGAGATTGCCAGTCTGCGTGTGGATGGTAGCGATGTAACCAGTGGCTGATGGCAGCTGATTCTCTGCAAGCGGTCCCCATACAAGCCTGATGGCCGAGGTAGTGACTTCTGTCACCTCAATAGAGAGCGCTTGTAGTATTTCTATGACCAAAACAAACAAGCAAAGGTAACATAATTCACCTTAATTCATGCTAACTACAAGAGATTTGAACATCGGAATTCTTAACTGTTTGTAATTCAATGTTGCCAAGAGTGACTCCAGGCCTCACCTGTAGTTTCTGCAACACTCAATGGCACGCTCTCCGTTTCGTAAGTGGTGTCCCTTCCACTCAGTGTCTTTACAGAGATGTTGTATTTCTGCGCAACGGCCAGTCCAGTCACCACATACATGTCCACGTCACCGTACACCTTGGCCGCCTCAGTGACAGTGCCATCAGGGGAGGTGTATGACACGAGGAAACCGTCATATTCACCCACGGTGACAGGTGGCATCCACATGACAGGGATGCTAGTGGCAGTGGTGGACAGGTCAGTGGTGTTCACAACTGACAATGCTTGGATTCTATCAGGTGCTGCAGCATGGATCGAGGGCCAAATTGGTGGATCTCGTTATTGTTATTCATGTTACAGTTACTCTTGGTTACTCATGGTTACTCACAGTTACTCATGATTACTCGTGTGTTTTTTATTGTTACGGTTCCTCATTGGTCATCATTCATTTGAGTGGGAGGACAAGGCTGGAACAGCACAGAGGTATCTGGTATCACAACGTTCAATTTAAACGCCTTAAAATGTTCTGAAACAATGCATGATCTGAAATTAAAGGACGACAAGACTGGGTTCTTATAAAACTCTATCTGTTACAAAGCACAAGATGCTTCTTGGTCAGAAGAATCGATCCTAAATCCCTGTTTAGGTAGCCTTTTGTCAAGGCCTTTGTGGCTGTGTGTGTGTGTGCAACTGCAAAGCGACTGGACAGGAGACCAGGCGAGTGGCCCAGCCACGAGGCCTTTTCCAACTTGATTTTGAGGTTTTTGTGGTGAATTATTCATAAGCTCTCTGATATGTATTATTCATAAATTTCATGTAAATAGTCGAAGCAGATGTCTCTGAAATAAACGGCATCAACTCCAGAGCTTATGCAATGTTTCCATCTGGGTTTTCATGAGAGCAATAAGCAGTGAGATGACAACTATGATGCTTGTTTGGTGGGGGGGTGGTTCTGACATTGGAGTAACACTAGCAAGTAGCAGTTCATCAAGGCCGAATGGTCACAGCAAAATGGCAGTGCTTGAAAGATGGAGCTCAGTCTTACCATATCCCCTGGGTAAAGACGAAAACGTCACGCCCGGGTACAGATTCTTCAATAGCCTAACGATGCAATGGTTTAAACTCGGCAAGGTGAAATTATCCAGCAGCATATTCTAAAGAACTGTCCATATACTGCTCTGACAACTGACCTCATTCAACACCATTGACATGCTCGCCATCTTTTGGATACTTTCAATTTGCATAATAGCTGAATGTATGCTGACCCCCTCGCTTATGATTGGTTGGGATTTTTGCCATCCCAAAGGGGTAGCAAAAATGGAAAATACAAAGAAAAACATAAGAAATTCCTGACAAGTTGGAAAAGGCCCTCGTGCTGAGCCGCTCGTGTATGTGGTCTCCTCTCCAGTCGCTTTGCAGTTAACACACACAGCCATAAAGGCCTTGACGAAAGGCTACTATTTGAGAGACTTCAAGAATCCTCCAAAATGCAACGTTGAAAAGTGATCTAATAACGTATTCTTTGGACTGGAACAAACCAGATTGATTTTTCAGTTTTCTTATAAGTCACTGGGGAAACACTGATTTGTATTATCAAGGCCATCACGGTAGCGGAGTGAATATGTTGCACCAACATTTATGGGTGTAAAAGGCATGAGCATGAGAATCAGTGTGTGAACTAACATCTGCGTGTACTCCATTCATTTACACTACTCGATCTTCCTGATTCAAAATGATGTCACGTTTCGACTGCAAACTCACCATAAAAGTCACTCACATTGTGTTACTTATCAGTACTTTGGCACAGAGACGTACATTCAAATCTTTACCTGTGCGAGCTTGAACGGTGCCCTCCTCGGCTGGTGTACTAACTGTCCTGACCGTCACCGTGTACAGGGTACCAGGAATTAGCTGGTTGATGGTACTTTCCTCTTCACTGACAAACCTCCTGACTGCTCCATTGACCAGGATCTGGTACAGGACATTGTCAGGGTTGTTGGACGGACCCCAGATGATGTCTAATGTGGAGGTGGTCCTGTCTTTGACTAGGACCTGCAGCGGCATCAGAGATGCTGTGGATGGATCGCGATGAGAGTCAGAAGGAATCAATTCACAATAATGATCAGAATCAGATCTTTGTTATTTCTATTCTACATTCGATATGATTATAGTTGGAGAATACTAAAGAGGACAGACAGAGGTGTGGACCGTTAGAATTGTTTTGAAGAGTGGCAACAGATCATGGCCACCTGTCTAAATGCATCACAGACTTTGTAAATCAAATGATATTAAGCAACTATTAATTAATATTGATAACAACAACTGAAATCTGATTGTCACTGATTGGTGTGCTTGCATTTATGTTGATTCCTGATTGTCACTGATTGGCGTGCTTGCATTTATGTTGATTCCTGATTGTCACTGATTGGTGTGCTTGCATTTATGTTGATTCCTGATTGTCTCTGATTGGTGTGCTTGTATCAAGTTGATGGCCAGGAACAAATCAAGAGAAAGAGATGGGTAAAGTTGGCTTTCTATAGTCATAATGAGCAATACTTCAGACAAGCAACAGATTCTGTTGACTGATAATGTTCATGGCATAAATCAAGTCTTTATCATAATTGGAGGGTTATGCTACGTTGACAAAGGAAAAATGACAGGCAAGGAGGGGAAGAGTTCACACAAAGCACCCTGAGATGATAAGGTGCACAGCCAAAAACTCACCGGTTGGCTGGGTAGCAGTTGCTGCTCTGCTCCTGAGTTTCTCAGGTCCCACTGCGGCAAATACCTCCACGGTGTATTGCGTGCCGGGAAGCAGATCCTCCAATAGGAAGGTGTTGACGTTGGGAGGCAAGATTATTGGCGTTAAGCCCGGCGGGGAGACCAGAACCACGTAGTTGTCAAAGTTGGACGCTGGACCGGCCCAAGTTGCTCTCAGACTGGTCAGTGTCGGATTCGTGAGTGTCAAAACTTGAGGGGTCTCGGGACCTGACAATATCAAAGCCACGGTTTGGTGAACCCATTTGGGGAAATCAAAATAGGGAAAATGTGACCAGACCCCATGAAAAGAGTCTTACGGCTATTTTGTTCAGCAATTTCATTTTTAATATTTTGCATAAGGAAGAACAAACACAATTTATTTATGTATCAGCCACTTTGTGAAAAAACGCTAAAGGCTTCTACTGACTAACACTAGGCACAATACTTTTAATGACCTTGACCTTAAAAAGTGGCACTGGTCAACTTGGCACGCATTTGGTCAGGTTGGGTCAAAGATTAAAAAAACAAAGTCAGTGACAAATCTGCAACAAATGTACATGAAAGACACAATGTACGATTTCTTTTCTAAGATCAGACTGCTGAATGAAAAAAATAATTTTTTTTGGGGGGGGGGGAAAGACTTACGGGTGGTTTGGGAGTCCTGGCCAGTAATCTCTGGATTAGTTCCAACCACTGTCAGAAGAATCTTAAGAAAAAAAAACAGAAGTCAGGGTAAGAGAAAAATGGAGGCAGGGAGTACACGGCATTGCCAAAATCAGGGTAAAACTCGGTTTGCTTTTTAATGAACTCAAAGAACTTTGCAGTAAGTCCACATGACAAGATAGTGAAACGATATACAGACAAACTGACAGGAAGACAGACCAACATTCCCACCGACCTGATACTGCGTTCCAGGGAGCAGATTCATGAAAGTGTGTCTCGGGGAGGCGATGGGAGGATAGAAAGCCGGGATGGGTGTGCCCGCGACCCCGTCAATGATAGGCGTGGCAATGAGGCGGTACTGCGTCACTGCAGGGTCCGTCACCACACCCCAGGCCACCGAGATGGTGGAGGCGGTGAAATCAAACACGGTCACGTTGCCTTGCGGAAGTGACACTTCAAAATCCAAACAGCAAACAAATTCGGTGAAAAGGATGCAAGTTGAAGTCATCTGACTTTGAATTCTCATGTTTGACTATTCTGCAGGTGACAGCTCGAAAATTGTTGGAGGAACATTTTTGTTTATCAATCAATGAGCCAATCATTAAATTGCAAATTACCCAGTACAGCAAAGTGACACGTCACACTGCCAGAATTTTTGCGAGAGAACGTAAACAACAAGTGAAATATCCAATTGGCTACATTTACAATGAAAAGCTGACACAGATTTTTTGTCATAATACGAGCGATTCACAATAGTGCGCCACCAAGAGTTTGCAACACATTGGCCAATCAGAACACACAGAAATTTTTGGCCCTTTTCTAAACGCGACATAAGTCGACAAAGTCCCCGCATTGTGATTGGCCAACGCGTTGCAAACTCTTGGTGGCGCACTATTGTGAAACGGCCGTATTGCACTAATTTCACAACTTGTCAATTTGACATGATTAAGGTGCATAAATCATGACACCGTCTCGAAAACCCGTATGCCAGTTGAATGCACTCAATCAGACTACGACTGTCGGAGCCTTACATCAGAATTGCTGAGGCCATTTTCATTCCTTTGGGGGAACTTACGTGTGGTTGCATTGACTTCAGATGGAACACTCTTGAGCTCATTCGGAGTATTGGGATCGATGACAGTGACTATCCCTATGGTGTAGAGGGTTGCGGGATCCAGACCGTCTACTGTCAGCTGATTGGTTGCGCCCCTTGGCACTGTGGTAAAGGACTGTGGGAAGGATGGCATTTCAAGAAATCTCCAAGAGAATTTCTTATCAAAGGGTCCATGCTGTGAATCAACTTGGAAAACATCTTTCCTGCAACTTTCTATTCCTCTTGAGAGGTATTTTGGTTAGCCTCTTTGGTAAGTGCACTTTTTGAAATGACTTAAGTGTCCATGCTTTCGTGACAAAAGAGGGAACTGTTGCTCTGATGTCATTACAGGAAACCACTACTCATTGGGGCTCACTGAAAATACTTGGGAGAAAAACTTTGCTTGCTTGCTGACTATCAAGAACTGAAACAGTATCGCCAAAGTAAACAGAATTTGGGAAGGCAAACAGCTGCAACACTGGGTTTCAGCCTTGGATGACAGCACACTTTTGCTCAGAAATATGCGAACCGTTTGCCTAATAAACAAAAAGGCAACAAAATGCCCTTAAAATGGCATAACAAAATTTGAAACTCACGTTGAATGGGACACAAGGTGCACTCATGAGAACTGCATTACAAAAATAATTGCACTCCAAGAACCCTTTAAAGCAGGCAAGAATTCCTCTGGTAAACCTTCGGAAATATCATCCACACCATACTAAATGGTTCAATACGTGATGGTCAAGACTTTGAAATCCTGATCAAGTTGGAGCATGGTCACTGATTAAATTCTGAGGGAAGTTTGAAAGGCAGGGGGGGAACTTTTTTGTTGTTTGTAAGTACCTGCGTGGCGCCATCCTGAGTCTTGTAGTAAACCTCAAACTCGTCAAAGTCACCGTTGGGTGACGACCACGAAATATCCACTGAGATTGCAGTACTGCCAGTGGCTACCAAGGACGTTGGTGGTTCCGGTCCTTGAAAGTGGGTAAATCATTTGGAAAAAATATTGGAATTATTACGGTACAGAAGAAGATCTGATGGAACTGTATTCAATTCATTGACTGTAGAGAAAACTTCACAACCGGCTGGGGTGCATGTGCTAATGAGAATATTTTACCCCTTGGTACGAGAGTGAGGCTGCATCTACAGCTGAGTGGTGGGCTTCCACCATTTGTACACAGGGACAAGTTGACAAGAGCTGATAGCTCATGCTGGAGGAAAGCCGAACCCCAATTTTTTCCCTTCTAGTATCTGTACTTCAGTCAACTGTACGCACAGGTAACAACTTACGCGTTTTCTGAGTGATGGAGGACATCTCCTGATTTTGACTGGCACTGAAGATGGTGGCCAGCTGGATGGTGTACTCGGTCGCCGATAGGAGATTGGAGATTGTCGCTGTGGTCTCCTGGGCTCCCAGAAGGATCGGGTTGCTGCCTTGTAATGGAGCTGGGGTGACACGCAGGGAGTACAGCACCACCCCAGGTGTGGTGGAGAGGCCCCAGATCAAAGAGATGCTGTTTGTATTGACTGCTGATACCTCGATATTTAAAGGTGGGATACTCCCTGGGTTGAAAGAGACAGACTGATTGAAACAAACCTTTCAGGCACACTGATTAAAAAACTTTCTTAATCAACCCAACGGGTGTGTGGAATACAGTGTTATTTGTTGTTACAAACTTTGAGAGTGCACCTTTATCTTTCAATTAACTTTATTTTCAATATTTGCTCTGCAATTTTAAATGGTGCCTCTTTGATTTTATAACACTCCAGGAAACTTTCCTTTTCGTGGATGATTCACTATCACATGAGTTGACATCAACAAGCCATTGTACAATCCCTTTTGACCAATGTTTCCTATAAGCTAACAATGTCTTCACTATTTTTCATCACAGCGCCTTCCATTGTCGAGAAAAGCACCAAGAATTCAAACTGCTGAAATAAAATGCACTTTTTAATACCCTTAACCTCCACCTAGAGCGAAAGCACCCCCTCATCGGTTGAAAAGAGTCAGGTCGGTGGGAAAATGTTACATGTATTCATTTTGTGGGTGGTGGCACGACCATAACGCATGCATTTCATAGTCATTAGTGAACCAGCAAAATGCAGTATCCACCAAAGGAACCTAGATTGTGCCCTTTCAAATTGTGCCCTTTCAAAGTTCAGCTCAGGGTTCATAAAGTTGCACAAAAACTTCTGTTTTAAAAGGGAGGTCTTACTTGTGGTGACAGATGCTGTGACGACGTCACTCACTGTTGCCGAGTCACCGGTTCCCGAGCGGGTGGCCAGCTCAAAGTCATATGTCGTGTCCGGCTGCAGGCCATCCAGCTGGTAACTGCGGACATCCTCATCTAGTATCTCCATGGACGGGGCATCATTGGTACCCTGCTCACTGTAGGTCAGGATGTAGTTGTTGAATTCACCTGAGCTTGGGGCCACCCATGTGAGAGTAATGTCCAATGTGTTGACTGTTGCAGCGGCAAAGAACCTTGCCGGCATTGGTACTATTAAAAGAAAAGGAAAATGTTGACAACACCACAGTATTAAGGTGACATCAACACAATGAAGCGTAGCACTGAAAACAGGTTATTCAAACGCCATGGCCAGAAACTGCTTGACGCCGAGATATCTTGTGTCTTTGATGCTTTATTTTTCTTTCACCCTCAGTTGGTTGTTTAATAACTTTGACGACAGGAATTCTCACCAAAATGCCCCACTTGTAAGTCCAGGTCTACACCTTACATGGGATACCCCCCACCCTTTGTAAATGCTGGGTACCCCATCCCTTTTGTAAAGGCTTATCCACCTCTGGTTTGGGCGCTGGGTGTTTGGTGTCGAGTTTGGAGTTGGATTTTGAAGTTGGGGTTTAAGGTCAGGTTTACAGTATGATTTAATTTGGGCGTGAGAGGGGGGTTTACTCCATTTTGGGAAAAGGATAAAGCCTCTTGATGAAGGGTAGCATATTATCCCTTCCAAGGGCAGATCTTGGGGGATAACAGGGGCAAAGCACACCTATGCCCCAAAAAGGGGGCAACTTTTTTACTGTAAAATCGCCCTCAGAAATGCAATAAAAGGTTACACAAAGAAATTCCAAAATCTTTGGCCCCTAAGAAATAGGTTTGGCCTCCCCCCTGAAAAGTTAATTCTAGATCCGCCTTTGGCCCTTTCCCCCGTCCCAGCCCCCTGGCTTTCTACTATTAATTATGACAATTTTGATAAAGCACTAACATATCCGCCATGAAGGTGATTAAGGCGCTGTTATCATTATCCCTGCACACTGGGCTCAAAACATCTGAACATTCCTGAAACCATCGCAGTAGGGCTATGCCGAATATCCGAATATTCCATTGATTATCAAATATTCAAACGTCATTTTTTAATTGAATAGTCGAATGCAAAATTCATGAAAAGGAAGGGAAGAACTTTCTTTTGTTTTATATGAGACAAATTGCACCATGGAGGCTTGTTTCAAGCAGATTCAAACAAATTGCGACAGAAATCTTCCCATTCAAAAAGCAATTCGATTATTCATTGACAAATTTTAAAAAGGAATAGAAATTTCAACAGGGCAAGAAGTATTGTTTGTCTCTGAAATCTTGCTAAATAGTGGCTGGAGATAGTCCTAGACGTGAGGAGCTATTATAGAGAATATAATGTATAACTGTGTGCATTATTGCAACTGATTTGTATATGGTTTATTCATCAATAATCTGCCAGTCGGTAAGACCGAATTTTCGGATATTCAATCAAACTAAAGGTCAAATATTCAAATAGTGAATTATTCAAATCGACTCAGCCCTACATCTCAGCTTTCTGGGGAATATACTAGCTTGATGCTGCCATTTCGGCGCAAATGGCTAACCATAACCACAGCTGTGTTCACAGGTACCCATTTACTCCCGAGTGGAAAGGGGCACATAGTGATAAAGTAAGTTGCCCAAGATCTCAACATGCTGCCACCAGCTGGATTCGAACCCCCGACCTTACGATCAGAAGGTACAATACCTAACCACTGGGCCACATGCCCCCCAACCATTAGTATTATGATTTCTCTGGTTTGAGTTACTGAGGCACCAGGGAGCAGTGCATTCATTACTGGTTCCCCCAGACAACACACAACCAATGGAACAAACTGTACCTGTCCGTTGAGTGATACTGTTGAGGAGAATGAAGGATTGGTTCTGGTATTGTACGCTGAGCTGAATCAGGTACTCCTTGCCAGGGATGAGACTGCCTACTGTACGTATTGTATCTGTCACTGGAATTGTCTGGAGTGAGAAAGAGGCAGGGAAGTCCTTACAAGTATATCATGAACAAACTGGATGGCTGTTGAGGAAACTCAGTGTAGCTGTAGGCCAATTTACAGAGTTTCTATTGAGGAGATATTTTGCGCAAGAAATCGTATGAGACACTTATCATAAATACACTCTGAAAGCAAAAAAGGACTTTTGTTTTCTTTCCTTGGTGAATGAGAATGCAGTGTTTTCTTTCTTTCAAACACCTCAGCAATGGGCAAATTTATTTCTTTTCTGCATAGACATGAAATTAAAGAAATAGTACAAACCAAAGATTCTACATCAGTAAAAAGAATTTCTAGGCTTGGAAATGCCATGATTTGCAAGGCCATGCTGATTTTTTTTCCCGGTGAAAATGAAAAAAGCATGCGATGATGCTTGTGCCTTTATCTTGGTAAGCCCTGCATTGAAGGGACAATTTTTGGTTCAGAAATTCCGGATGGGGCTGCGGGGACACAACTTTGCATGTATTACTCAACATATGCATTGTAGTCCCTGCAACTATGAAGCCAGCTTGTGTGCACTCGATAAATTAAATGGACAACACAGAAACAGAACAAAAACCCCACCAAAAAATGTGAACCAATCCAAACCAACCACATGAAACGGTTTGCAAAATTACACAGGAAATTATGACAAGCACACAACAAATGCCATCACAACGAGGAAAATAACATGCTTTTGGGACTGAAAAGAAAGGAAAAGCAAACACAGTGACGCAAGCAGTTTCAGCAAACCGAACCAGCAATCTTCAATCAGGGAAAGACATGTAATGGATGGCAAGAATCAGACAGAAAATATTCCCAAAATATTCCCGAATATAAGTCATAATGCTGCCGTGATTAGGTAACGATGAAACATTCCCATCAAGTGAAAAAATAACGAACACCAGACAGTTACAACCTGGACCAAGAGCACATGATGATAAACCGTTGGAAAAACTACCCAAGAATTAAACCTAAAATAAAGGATACACCTCGATTAGAAAAACAGACAAAGGCTTTAAACACGAGCGCAAACACCGGTTCAGAGAAAAAACAGTGAGGCTTGAAGCCTTGAAGCATTGTACGGCTGGTTGGAATAGGAACTAGCAAAAAGAGGTGCTGTAAAGGTTTGAACAAGAACATTAGACCATAACCACATTACAGACAACCTTCCGCTCCAAAATAAAAGATAATCACGCTCACAAATGCACGGTGCCCTTTCATTTGTGCCAAACCCGGAAATCGTGATATGCATGCTAGACAAGTGCAGCTAAAGTGAGATTAATCCTCACACAATCAAAAGCAGTGCTCTTTTCATTCAAAATAAAAGAGCGCGCATGGAAAAAAACATATATCCATACAAACGGATGCATGACATGGAAACTGATTGAAGAAGAAGAAAGTATGCCCAAGAATGAGGACTTTCAAGACAGACAGGCAGGACACAAGCAAGTCTGTGTAAAGACAAACTGGCATTTTGGTGGAAAGAAGCTCCAAGTGAGCACAAAGAAAAGACAATTGGACAGCTTAAACCAAGCTGGAGAATCCAGTTGTTTTATTCGTATTTTTGACATGTCAATCGTGTCGTAAATTAAGTGACATCAATGTTACTTTAGGGCATAAAAATTCAAATGTGGAAAATCTGAATCGAGGAAATTTCATCTAAAATGGACCACTCTGCATGAAATTTGTCCATAAAAAGGCAAAATGCTCAAGAGGGTGAATTCTCACAAGCCACATTGGACCCATCACCATGACAACACCGAAATAATATGTCTTACTATGTTGGCCGGTCCGTTGCCCTGTAAAGCACAAACAAGTTAAAATATACATGTACACATTTCATGTCACTATGCAATACAGCACAAACTAAACTCTAACCTTTCAGAGAGATTTAATAGCTTACGAATGCTTCATTTGTACAAACTTGGGGTAATATCAACTGGTGACATACCAACTGTTGGTAAGGATCATGAAGCTGTCAGTAAATTGGAACAAACGGCGGAAATGAAGATATCCCAATTTCTACAACTTGATGAAAATGGGATTTTCAATGCACAAGCACGTCCAGTGTTTCCTAAATAAATACTTGAGGTTTGTTGTCATTTTATTGATGCGTTAAGCCCAAGATCAGTAAAGAAAAGTGACTTTTGTTTTAAGGTGCAATTTAAAGATTACACATTTATTTTCAGGGCTCGTTTTCTGAACTAAACAGTTATTAACCTTTCAGAAACACAAGTCACGGCAGCTAGTTCAAGGTATATTTTGTCAAATTTTCAATGACAAACTAGGACAGTGACTTCAAGACACCTGGACTATTAACAAGATTAGTGCCGAGGAAAATGAGACGTAAAGCCACTTTGATCCCTTACCATGGGAGCAGAGCTGCCATCGATGGGGCTGACTTCCAAGACATAGGTCCTGATGCCCCCAGGAGGAGCACCCCACAGCAGCGTGATGGTGGTTGTAGTTATGTCTCGGACGACAATATCCGCTGATGGGATCGGAGCTGTTGAAGCAAACAGAGACCAAGAAATTTCTCACATGCTAACAGAGAATGGGCACAACTTGGACGAAACCCTGGTAAGCTGTCAAAAATTCGAGAAATTCATATATTTCCATTGTTTTCTTTGAAAGCAAAAGTGCTTGCATACAAACTTTTGTTTGCAGAAGTTGCAAAAAATAAATCTGATGCTTAGTTGATGTTCTGATAAATTTCAAACGCAGTCTCTTTCAGACTCTCCCAAGTATGAGTTATTACTGAATTATCACTTGATGTCACTGTTTTTACAATAATTCATTATCTACTTTTTTCTTCATATCTTATTTGTCTTCATTTTTAGGAGAGGATGGGGGCATAAAAGACCTTGACAAAAAACCTTGATGAAATTGGAATCACGGGAGAGATGTGAACATTACCTGTGATGGCCATGATTGGGCAAGGTGCACCATACTCTCGGCCATCTCCGGCCCCGGTGATAGTCTCCAGGGTGACAGTATATTCAGTGGATGGATTGAGACGCTGGAACGGAGGTTGAGATAAAGAACCAAAAAAATCCAAATTGGCGTTCCTTCTCACAAATCTTGCATGCTTGAGTTGATGCACGGGGTGGTGTGGAAAATTTGGACCACTTGCTGATTAGTTTGTTGAATTTAACTATCAATTAGGGTGTTCTACTTCAGCATGTGATCTATGTAGTTAGGGCGTGATGGGTGGAACAGGTTCTCGTGACACAACGAAGTAACTCACATGGTTAGAACATGACGTGGTTGGAACAAGTTCTTGTGCAAAACCTAAGTTGGCTACTTTGTAAAGAACTGAGTCAAATCTCATCTGTAAATGCAGTCGATTCCCTGTAAAATTTATTCCAAAGTTGTGTCCTCGATCTGCACTTTATTCAGCAGGATCACTGGCGCAAGCTCTGCTGATTTGTCAAGTCAGATGATGCAAGCATTTCATGTCATAACTGCCTTGGGGGTTAGTCTTACCTCCAGCCTGTAGGTTCTAAGAGTTGGTCCCAGTTCCTCGGACATCACCTGAACTCCTGCAGTGGCATAGGACAGACGGAAACCCGAAAACTGGCCGGCGTTGGGCGGAGACCAGAAGACTGTGATGTGTAGTGGTCCAACCTGAGTGAGAGCTTCGTTGAAGCAGGACCGTTCAGGCACTGTGAGCAATTTGGAACGGGAATCGGAAAAAAAAATTTGTATCAATTGGAATTTAGACTCAAAGTCAGATACCAAAATGTCACTCCGAGCATGTTTAATTAATAAGGGATGGAGTGAAAGAGAACTTCATCTATTAAGATGTATGTGTTACCTCTTGCCATTTGTTTTCTTTGATGAGACTTTTCAAGCTCGGTGTAGAATGCAAGAAATAAAATATATACATCTCTAACTTTTTTCATCCAAAAAGCTAAAGTTACAACCATTTTACCTGCATGTATACTCAAATAGAAACAAACCACTAAAATGCGTAATGTAAGCAACAAAATCTTAACCAGTGCAGAAGAATAATTTTTTCAAACTCCTGATTGGCAGAAAACTAAGGAAATCAGTTTCGTGAGTGGTCACTTTTCCTCAACTGCCACATGGGTGACCCAGCTTCAAATCTCACCCAGGCCGGCATGTCTCAGTCCCCATCTGATATCACGAGTTTTGCCCGGGACTATCACCCCGGGGTTTTCCTCCAGACTTTTAAAATTAGAGTTCCTTCATCTTCTTAATCAGATTTCTTCTGATATCTTCCCTACAGTGTTTAGGCACTTTGAGGAACCCAAATGCTTTCATTACCAGAAAAAATAAAATAATTTCAACCAAATTTAATCAAACTGGACTGGTCTCTAAAAGAAACTGCTCCAAATTTGTAAATACAAAACGTGGTGATCAGCAATTTCGAAGGTCCTACAACCCTTTTTTTAAACATGTTTTGCACCTTTTGTGTTGTAATACGTACATGTTCTTTGGACAAGCGTATTCTTGGCCAAGTTGTTGTTGTTATTGCCATTGTTGAAGAGAGGACGTATGTTAATGGTGTATTCTTGGCCTGGTTCCAAGCCGTTAAACCTGTAGTTAGTCAGAGTAGTGCTGGCAGTACTCATTCCACTGGCTGAAATAAAGAAACAGAAGTTAATTCATGCTAACAACTCAACCGGGACTCAACTCAATGTACATCTAGCGCCTTCTATTGCTGCCAATCTAATGAACGGCAAGCAAAAAAAGTTTGAACCCACCCAAGCAGTGACCATCTTACATAGTTGGGAATGCACATCCATTTCTGGTGTTGCATGGGTAGTTGTGAAGTCGTTGGGGTGGAAAGAATTGGTCAGGATTATCTTTAGCTCGGTAATAAATTTGTCACCTGGGCTGATATCCAACAGGTAAGACTCGGCACCGGAGACTGCAGACCACACCACCTCGATGTGAGTTGTGCTGAGGGTCAGGACCACTATGTCTAACTGGCCAACAGGAGCTGTGTACGAAAGAAGACATTAGTAAATCTGAACACAAGCACCCAACAGCTAATCAGAACACCCAAGGAAACTGTCTCGTTCTAAACATCTTTTTTAAATATCAGATTGAAGTGGTTTAAAGTAGCCTTACCCAACAATCTCAGAGACTCTGACGTCAAGAAACATTACAAAGTTTATTTTTCTACTTGAAAAACAGTCAGTAATTCCCAAACTGGCCTCCTTACAAAATGTCACACAGAGGCAAGATTGTTGCTGCCCGTGTTTAATTTGAACAGACAACAGTAATGATAGAATCTGACATCATCTGGAGTTTGCTGTACCTGTTGTGAAGTCGCTGGCACTGGGAACACTCTCCACACCGCCAGACAGGGTGACCAACTCGAAGAAGTAGCGTGTGCTTGGGTACAGGAACTTGACCTCATAGACGAGACTGGAGCTGGGCAGTTCCTCCTGGATAAGCTGGCCACTCCGCTCATAAGAGAGCCTGAAACCATCGTAGTTTCCAACCGGAGCAGACCAAATAAGCGTGATGCTAGTAGGCTTAGGTTGGTTGAACAAGGAGCCCGGTGGGCTGGGCTCTGAATGAGGTCAAATGGACAAGGTGAGTTCATTTTAGAATACCATCATACTGAAATGACAATGCAAGACATGTAAGATCACGTGAACTTTGTGTCCAACCGCTGATACTAAGATGACAAAACCTGACACCTGACACTCTAGCTTGAGCCCGTACTGTGCCTTCAATCAGTGAAAATCCACACACACACTTTGTACTAGGTTTATTACCTGATAAAAATGCTGGCCAAAGAATCACTAAAGACAGGCTCACATTCTCAAATGGGAAATCAAACTTAAATGGGCTTCAATCCATGGGCCTGGTAATTCTGTTAACTTTTCCTGTAGATAAATCCAGGACAACATAACTGTGATGGCATCATACCCACATGTGCATGATTTTCCTTATGCACTAGGCAAGTCACAACACCATTTCAGCTGAAGAGGCATGTAATGCACACAACGCAGTGCCACGGCATCAATGCCTCCTAATTCTAGTCGCAGATTTAGTCCATAATAATTATGGAACTATTAACAATTTGGCTCTTGTAACTTCGGTATGGATTTTGCATGAATCGTGTCACAACTAAAACAAAAATACAGACTGCAGTCAACATACTTGTCCTGAAACTGTTTTCAGTTGTACGATCATCGGCTCCAGTGATGACAACTTGAAGGGTGACGTTGTACAAAGTACCAGGGATGAGGTTGGTAAACAGCAGCACTGGTTCCTCACCAACAAGCCTCTGAGCAGCCTGCCGAGTTCAGGAAAACAACAACATTGTGGGAGCTTGCTTTGAAAAATGGCAGTAAAATGAAGACGACAGACAGTAGACTTCCTTCAAGGTGCAAGGCTATGCACAGGGCGGTCTCTTCAGGCATGCAGTAATGCCAGTTGTCCTTCTGTCAGACTTAGGCAGAGACCGTGTAGAAATCTGGAACATTGATTACTTTGCATTCATGAATACCCCAGACAGTCTCCCTAATCAACAACGTGCAACTGGATCGTGTATTAACATTTGATAATGCCCACTGAGAAGTGATAATGCCCACTGGCACCTGGATATGAGACAGTTTAATCGATTCTGATTGGTCAAGAGTCTGTGTGCGTGCGGCTTGCCCCGCACACGCCAAGTCCATATAAGGAGATCCTTTTGGACACATTGCACAAGAAATATACTATAAAATGGACGTGAGTGTTCGGAAAAAGGAAAGTAAGATTCTGGAACAAAATTCTTGGGAACTCATCGTATAATGACTTTTTTCGACCCTCTGAGTAGAAAAGGTATTTACATAGTAAATATGTGCTTGGCCGGTCTCAAACGTTACAGCTCAGGAGACGGAACACTGATAATACCCTCCCCAGTGGCTCGGGCATTAGTCACGTCCATTCTCCTGAGCCGGTCTTAAACGTGCGTTTAAGACCAACCAAGCACATATTCATTAATAAAACACAGCATTTATGCCAACGTGAATAATCCTGTTCTACCTCCAAAGTTAAAACAAACTTAAACATCACACTTAACACTAGGTGCACTACACCTGCATACTGGCAATCAAAGGTTGAAGTATTACAATGCGTGACCCCACCATCCTCAAACCAGGCTGAAGTTGGTATTTGTGATGTTGGACAATTCCTCTCTGTCAGCTTTTTTTACACTTCAAAGTGATCCATATTAAATCCATGTCTGCAGAAAGCTTCTTAAGGGTAGCAATAGCTGTCAAATTCCCATGAAAATCAAAACCAGTCTGTGAACAGTGGAAGTTCCACTATTTCAGGGTTATGAAGTTACCTACTTCAGCCTGGTTTGGGGATGGTGGGTCACATATGTAATAGCGAAGCAACTTCAATACAGATCAATATCCGATAAACAACCCGAAAAGTGAAAGAGCAACAACACCTAACCCCAAAGCTTGAGGTATCATTGAGCAAGTTTCATCAGGGGCATAAACTGCTTGACACTGAGGGGATCAAGATGAATTAACAGCAGCTGAGGGGTCTTGTTTTTTTTAATTCTTACTAGTAAAAAGAAGAGAAGAGGACCTAAGCAGCTATGAATTCATTGTCGTTCCATGAAGCATCAAGCAGCTCTATACCATTGTATTTCATCATGATCCCTCATAGCTGTCCTTGTAAACAAATCTAGCTGAACATTTGCAGGGGAAATTTGTACAAAAAGTCCAGGTATTTTGTTCCTTACTACATTTAACTGTTTAAGCAATCATCACCATGGAAGAGAAAGCATCTATTCTTGCCAACATTTCAGGGATACCAGACACTTTCTTGCCCAGAGTAAGTCCAGAGAAGACCCACCATACCTTGGTAAGGCTTGGCATAAACAATTTACATCCTGCTTTTTCCTGCAATTTGAATCCTATTTTAGTTTCACACAAACTCACCCTGATGTTATTGTCATCTCCAGGATTCAAGATGACGGAGTATCGCTCGGCATTGGGGTCGCTAGTTTCTCCCCACAGGACCTCCACGGATGTCTCCTCAATGTTACGGAAGGACAACTGTTCCGGAGCTAGGGCAGCTAACAAAGTAAATAAACACTGCCGTCAGTTGCTAGGTTGGGTGGGTGGGACTTTTGCAATGGGAGTCAGACTTGAAATGAATGACTGAGGACGAGAGTCGTTCACTTACTGGTACTTCCCGTTCCCTGGACTGGCTCACTTTTCTCTGTGATACCATCGATGCTGGCGACAGCAACAACGTCAATGAGATAGGCAGTGCCCGGGTTGAGGCCACTGACTGTGAAGGGCAGCATTTCACTCGGCAGGATCCTACCCCGATAGATGCTGGGTGCATCGGCCCTCCTCTTGGAGTAGACCTCATAGTAGGTGATGTTGCTGGATGACGCAGTCCAGCTGACGTCCAGAGATAGGGTTGTTGGGTTAACCACAATCACACCAGTAACTGGATACGGACCTACAGATGAGAAGACAAACCGTGTCTCAACTTGCTGTGATGACAATGGTATGCAGCATCTTCCCAATGTCATGATGCAAGCAAATCCTGTCCCATTTAAACCTAAAATGTCAAACCGGTGCTATTTGTAACTTCCATGGGTTTAAAGAAGACACTGCTTTTTATTTGATCTTATTTGCTTTGGGCAACTCAAAGATATGACCACATAAACACAAGCACAAAATTGAGCTGATGTCCTTTTTCCGTGATAAAAGGTTACACCTCAGTATGCTTAAATGCTAGTGTTGTCAGCGTCTGCTTGAAAATCAAATCTAAATGTGGGATGTGTGTCTTGTGATTTAGGTCTTGTGGTCAGACTACAAAATGGAACGAGGTGAAATGTAATGCTTACTGGTCAAGTGTCTGGTGGATCTCTGTATGTTGGAGCCCACCAGCAAGACACTGACGTCGTACAGCGTGGCCGACTGTAGGCCGGTCAGTTCCACACGCAGGTCCGGATCAGTTGGGTAGATGGATGCCCGGGCAGCTTCCACGCCATTCTGATCAGTGGCGGTCACTCGATAGGAGGTGAACGCAGTGGACTGGTCAGCCCGACCAACGGTCAGTGTGATAGAGGTGGGTGTGGAGTCTAGGATGATAATTTCTCCCACGGTGGCTTGGACTACAGAACCGAGAAAAATAATTCCAGAAGAATGTAATTACAAAATCCTGCAAGAACTACTTCCATCTGCAGTGGTTAAGGTTATTCTTGCCATGCATCTGACCAAAAAGAAGCACAGGATGTTCAAAATCTTCTGCTGGAAGCAACTCCTGATCCAAAAGAACCTCTTCACGAGGGAAGCCATTTTTTATCATGGTCCCTGAATCTGTTTTTATGAATTTTAAACTGTTGATATAGATGGCACCGGACTATTTCATGATTGTTTTATTCAATGCCTCAATTTGAAATTTCAAAATCTTGCCTGAAACTAAGGCTTTTTTATCACCAGTCTTAGATTATTTATCAAAGTTGACAGGTAACCATTTTGAATTGAGGTTCATTTTGTCGCTTTCACCTCTACTCTCAAGTTCCAGAGCCAACAAGTTAATCCCGCTTTCAATTTCTCTGTGGCCGACCCATGAGTAAAGTGTATTTAAAGCTCGCGATGCTAGAAGCACAATGGACTTCCAGGGACTTATGGTGGTCTTACAGGGGCTTATGGTGGACTTCCAGGGACTTATGGTGGTCATACAAGGGCTTATGATGAACTTCCAGGGACCTATGATGGACTTATGCATAAACAGCTCTTCATTGTTACAAACAGCCGGAGTCCAAACTATAGCTTCAGTCTCTCTAGTAATGAGCCAGACAACCACCAATGATTTGTTGCCCTCATGACCCAAGGTCAACTTCATTTCAATATTCAAACACGTCCACACATGGTTTATATCCTACAATTTATGTGTATTCAAACTTACACCAATGGGACCACAGGGAAGGAAGACGTGTCAAAGTGCTTGTAATTTAAGAACGGAGGGCATGTGCCCTGTATCAACCACTGACAATTTAAGAAGCAGGGAAGGTCTTGCCCTTCAGCATTCTGAGGTGGAAAACACCCTGGGAATTAGTCTGAGAAATGTACTGTGTTCCAAATGGAGCAGTTGAAAAGGGCCAGGAACCATATGAGTTTTTAGGACAATCCCTATCAGGTGCAACTATCTACAGAGAGAAGTTTTCCCACAGAGAGGTTATCCACAGAAATGTCTACCAATTGGTAATGGTATCAGGTATTCCAAGGTGAAATAAGTCCACCATAAGTCTCTTGAAGTCCATCATAAGCTCCTGCAAGTCCATCATAAGCCCCTGCATGCAAGTCCATCAAAAGCCCCTGGAAGTCCATCATAAGCCCCTGTCAGTCCAACATAAGCCCCTGTAAATCCATCACAAGTCATTGAGCTTGAAGCCAAGTCACAAACTATTCAAATGAACCATGACAAACACATTTCTTTGCCGTTCATTCTCCTACTTACGACTGGTCTTCTGAGAGGACTTGTGAAGGAACCTGTGATGGACTTGCTAGCCACTAGCAACAAACTACATACGACATGCTTTACACTCAGCTTGACTATTCACCTGTTCTTGCGGTCACCCGAGCTGGTTCACTTTCCCCAGCCAAGGTAGAGTGTGAGGTCAGCTGGAAGGTGTACTCGGTGTCTGGGTTCAGCTCAGTCACCGTGTAGGATGTGCTGTCTGGCTCCAGGATGATGGGTAGGGAGATGATGGAGGGGAAGTAAGACAGGAAGAAAGCTTCTGGGTCTCCAAGGACAGGCACATTCCATGTGAGAGCAACCGAGGACGTCGTGATGACTCCAGATCGCAGTTGAGTTGGAGGGAGCAATTCTGGTAACAGAAACATAGGCAGAGGTAAAAAATGAACTTTGCGTGAATTGTTCACAGATAACAAGGGGAAAAGGGTTCAAGGTCAAGGATGACTGGTGAAATCCTGACAGTATTTCTTGTAACTTTCCAGACAAGAATCTTACTGGTGGTTTTTGTCACTGAATCCAGCTGCACGTCCTGGTTGCCAGTCGTGGTTATGGATAGGTTAAACATGTACATCGCCCCCGGTAAAAGGTTGGTGATGGTGACATTCAGGTTGGATTTGGGTACAAACTGCACGTCTTGCTGGGGAAGTCCCGGGGCTGGACTGATCCTAATGATGTATCCACTGAAGTCATCCGTGGTAGGTTGGGACCAGACCAGGGTCACTCCCGTTGCTGTGCAGGACTGAACAGCCAGCGATGCTACTCCCAAGATATCTGATAGTATCAAAACATACAAAGGAGTGTTCAGTCAAAAGCATACAGACTTCAATGCACAAGGTAGTAAATTATCTATTTACAAAAATTGTGATAAACTATCCTGCTAAAGAACATTCGGATGAAGTTCCCTTGACAAGCAATGTTGAAATTACTGGCCACGCAGGGAACAACGGATCACATAATGATTCCACTCCAGTGTCCACTTAGGGAGTCTTTTACATTTCCAGATATTGGTTGACTTTTATAACTTAAGGATGATACAGTCAGTGGTCTGAGTTAATTTTCTAATGGAGTTTAAGTGTTATTAGTTCTAACACCGTCAGTTTGCTTTAAAAATGTGACAAGGTTATTTGAAATCTGAATTTATCAGTGGAACATTTCAGTCGCATCTATGGAAAAATTCACACTAATATGAGTAAAAACGTGTATACTAGCAATTTTCAGGGACTGTGGTGTGCCGTACTTCAAGCTTGAAAAAGCCTAAAATAAATACCTGTGGTAACATTCTGTTCTCTTGGCTCACTGGTAACCGTTGTCTCACCAGATCCAGCAGTGTTAGTCACTCTGACTCTGTACTGTGTTGCAGGTAGGAGGTCAGGGATGGTGAACTGACGGGTACCAGTGATATCTGGGTCAGGTTGCAGTCGCTGGACCAGTCTGGGCATTTCCTCGCCAGGCCCGGCCAGGTAGATGTCCGAAACAAGGTGGGGTTGGGAACTCCAGGTCAGATCCAAGGAAGTTGGGTTGGGAGACACAGTTAGTGCAGGTTGTGAAGGAACTTAGTGCACAAACATAAAAGAACAGTCATCAATGAGGGTGAAGTTTGAGCGTGACTAAAATGAACCATAGTCCAACCAATGCTGCCCATGCAATGGATGGCTTGGGACTAATCAACCCTTTTGAAACCACACCCTTGGGCACGGTTGTACCACAGCTTCTTCATAGCTGATTTTTATCAGTATGGAGGGAACCATATGCATGACAATTATTGTAAGAGACATCAGTGACCGTGTACGTTCTGCGAGTTGCTGCCAATAGCAAAATTTGTGTGTTGAAGAGAGTGTACAAAACAGTTTGACTAGGGTCGTTCCAGCATAACTGTATTGCATGTGTGCATTGTTAAAATGCATTTTAGTCAAAAGCTGAATAATGTTCAGGCCTGAATTTGCCCTGAGCCTCAAACAATATGATACACTCACACTGGTGGAAAGCCAACTGGATATATCATTTGTTTCCCTGAGGACACACAAATTAATGTTTATTGATCCGTTCACGGTCTGTGTAATTGTGTCTTCTACAACAAGTGTGTTTTTATTTAAATTCACAATTAGTTGTCATTTATGAAAGAATGATCCATAGATAACATATACATTCAGTGTTTTCTTGAACAAAAATACAAGTCCAGAATGCTGGTGTTTGGCCAAAGCATGTTTTGCAAAAAGTCTCATACGTAAAAACCTATCGAATTAATTTTAACAGTCAGTGTGACTCTCTCAAACAAAAAACAATAATCGCCACAACTAACTTCATTTGAAAGCAACAGAACATTTGATTCCATCTATTATTACAAAACTTAATGTCAAAATTAAATGTAGCATCATTACCAGTGTAGGCAGTTGTTGTGCCGACTGGTTCCCCGTCAAAAGCAATGCGCAGTAGGGCAGTATACTTGTTAGCTGGTACCAGGCCAGTGAAGGTGTATTCACGAGGCTGTGTACTGAGGAACTGTTGCTGTGTGAAACCAGCAGGACTTGGCAAGATGTCAAGATAGTAAATGGATGCGCCCTGACAGATACCCCACTCCACCGAGAGAGTGACAGTTGTGACGGACACAGTGAGTATATCACACTCGCCAATGTCACCTGGTAGGGGGAAAAAAGACATTAATATCTTCCATGGTAAAACACACTCGCTAATATCACCTGGTAGGGGAACAAGAGACATCATTTTCTTCCATCAATTCAACTGGCCCCTTCTTTAAACACGTTGTTCACATTTTTACAAGGTGCTGAAATTATCTTGATCTGTTCAGCAATCAGTCGCCCAAAATTCTCAGTTTGAGAATTACAAAAATAGTTCCAACATTGAGAGGAATCAATCAGTGATTGGAAGTGGATGTTACAGTTGCAAAAACTGTGATGTACTCTAGGGGATAATCAGAACCAATTTTTGGGGGGCAGGGAATAATTTGAAAATTTCCTAATGCATGCTTTTATAAAGTACCAAAGCAAAAACATCATGCTCTGATTTATGTGTGTAAAACGCACCACCACGAGGACCAGCGCATGAACCAACACACAAGCACGTACTCCATTTGTTTGCACTATGTTTCACAATTCAAATGACGTCATGCTTCAGTTCTCTGTAACTTTGTGGGGTGAGTCAACATTTTGGGGCTTCAGAATGAAGGGAAATGAAAAGAAACTTTGCTGGGGGTACCCTGAAACGTACCCCCCCTCCCCAGTACACCAATGGATGTACTGAACCACAACATGGGTGAGGGTTTGTACTCAATTCTACTTACTCGTGGCTCTTGTGATTTCTCGCGGGTCGCTCTCAGACAGACTGCCTACCATGCCACTCTCTGTAGTCACGCCGATGACGTAGCTGGTCGCCGGCTGTAGGTCTTCCACAGTGAACTGGGTCTGGGTGCGGGGCACCACGCCGGCCAGCTGTGGCGTGGCACCGGGTGTGCCTTCCTCCCGGACGTAGATGCGGTAGACGTTGAAGGTGCCACTTGCTGGCTGCCAGGAGATTTGGATGGACAGGGAGTCCACACCGACGACGGATACAGTACCTGGCTGGTTGGGCTCTGTCAGGCCAAGAAAAGAGTTACACCCTTAACAACAGAATGCAGATGAATCAGACTGTTCCTGACTTATGATGGAATTTTGCGTTGGCTGATAGAGAATTCCGTATTTTGCTGTAATATCAAGGTAATTTAATACATCAGGGGGTGATCAGTCTGTAATGTGACTGAACATGAACTTCAAACTCCAACATAAATTGTTGTTTTCACTGCTTGCTTGATACAAATGGATTGAAGAAAGGTTTCACTAGATATGGCAGAAATGAGAGGAAAGATAGAGTAATGAAGTGTTTCACAGGCCTGCTGAACAGGGATAAAAACAAATGCAACACCTTAAACAACTTCTCCATACAAAGTATGCTTCACAAATTCAACCATTACTAAAAAAAAAAATTGGGGGGCCAACCATGAACAAGGAATAAAATTTTGTCAGAAATTCAGAGGATGAAGCTTACTTGTGCGCTGTGTGATGGACCTGGTGACAAGAGGATCCGTTCCAACGAAGAAAACCATGATGCGATACTCGACACCAGGAGACAGACCTTGGAAGTTATACGCAAACGGGCCACTGGGACCAATAGTATTGGTCTGTAGAGGGTTTACCGCCGACGGTTGGCTTATCTCAACCCGGTAGGATACTGGCACCTCTGCCATGGTCCAGCTGACAGAGATGCTGGTAGCGGTCACTTCGGTGACGTTGATTTCACCTGGCAGCCCATCACCTGGATTCGGGGAAATAAAGTTGACGCTTTAGAGAAAGAAGTCCAAAGTTTTGAAGTAGAAAAGATTCAACTGCCAAAAAAAAAAAGTTTTATAATTCTGTTTGGCAGAACACTGGTACGGTGTTCCAAAGGTTGCAGGTGCAAATCCTGCCCCGGTCAATTTCTTTTTTCATTTATATAAAGTTACTTTAGTCGGGCTCTGAAAACCATCAGCCAAATCTGAAGTCCTGGTACTATTAAGTGCAGTTCCTCTCCAACATGACATGTGAAGAGATGACTGGCCATTTGAAATAGACAGCAGTAATTAATGGTGACAATGACGCCGATGGCATTGATGAATAAAACCCTCATTGCTTCAGGGAGACATTTCCACACTCATGACACTCTTGAGCTCTAAAATGACACAGCCAACCAAGCTTTCCACATGACCTTAAACTGTCAAACTATTCAACAAAAACACCAGAGTATGTTTTCTTTTTAGTACCAAATATGCCGGGAGACCCTGAAATGTCTCCCTGCTGTTGAATCACTTGGTTGTGGCTTGATATTACTTACGACTCTAGTGGAAGTGGTTGCGGCCAATTCCCATAGACTTGTGTGTAATTTCAAGCCACCGGCAAGTGATTCGGACACAGCCATATGTACTACAAAGTGCCCTCCTAACAGCAAACTGAGTAGCGTAATGGTAAGAATGTTGATGGTAGTGAGAGTAGCCGCGAGTGTTCAAATCATAACATCTCACCCAGACGCAGGAATCGTGTGACTTTGTTGCTCTGCACACGGCTGTCATTAACCCCGGCATAGGTGGAAACACTGATTGTGTATTCAGTGGACGGATTCAAAGACATCAGCTGCGCAGAGTTCTCCCCGTTGACCTCAGTGGCAGGCAAGCCATCTGGTACATAGCAGATCAGATACTGATGGGGAGGGTTGACCTCGCCCCAGCCTAGGGTCACACTGGTACTGTCTTCTCCACGGCCCAAAAAGTACAGTCCATCGGGCGCCTGAGGTTCTGTGAGATCAAGAGCGGAAAGAATGGGTCTTCATCAAAGTGCTTTACCAAGAACTTGTGAATCCACATTACAGTAGGTGTTGTTTATGATAAAAAAAAGTACATCGTTGTCACAGTTTGATTTCATTTAAGAGATTCTTGTTTTATTATAGAAATGTGCCGTGTTTTGTTAACTTAAAATTGTGCTAAATTTCATCGTGTTTGGTCCTATATTTTCTCTGAGTCGTTCTTTTCAGAGTTTTGGTTCAAAGGTACCATTTCCAAGTCCTTATAGGAGGACTGGTGACAATCATATTGTCTACTTAGTTGCTTACATGCCCGAACCCGAAACCAACATTTCAAAGTTTCTGTGTTACTTATTTTCATTACTATTTTGTACTTTTAACTGTTGAAACAAAAACTGATAAAAAAATCCTTAAAATCCACAATGCATATTTCTGGACACCAGAAAGGGGGGGAGAGGGGATGATCCATAGCCCATCGCCCCCAGCCAAAAAGGGGAGAGTGGGATATGTATATCCTACTCCTTCTCAATTTATGCACGTGATTTAGACAAGAGACAGCACCTATTACAAGTTGTGCACATGGGTGATGGGGCAAGTCCACAGTCAGAGAGGCATTGATACTGCAGTACAAAGCTGCTATAACAAACATGACCGGATCCACGCAAAATGTTTGATATAGTGGTGTTCAGTACACAATACCAAGATTTACTAGCAGAAGATTTTGATGGGAATTGTGCTAGACAAACTTGGCTGGGAATCAGTCGTGTGAGGTATACAGTGGGTGGCATTTTAACCAGTAACCTGTTGTTGCTTAGCAACTAGTTTGAAATGCTAAGCAACCGTTTGGGAGTGGCACCCATGGCATTGAAGTTGCTTGTGGCTGTGGTTCTGTACTCACTGGTGTACTGGTTCAAGGTTCTGCTAGCCAGACTGCCTCCTACAGGCTGCACTGTGATTGTGTACTCAGTGGCCGGAACCAGACTCGGCCCAATCACCAACGACGAGGTGCTTTTGGGGACATTCTGGTTGAACACCAGGGTGTTGGATGGATCGTAGGCCAAGATGGCATAGTTGGTGAAATCCCCAATAAACTCTCCCCACAGGATACGGATAGATGTCTCTGTGACCTCATCCACGTATACTTGACTCAGGTTGAGAATAGCTGGGTAGGAAATTAAGAACCACCGTATTTTTAACACTGTGTCAATTTCTAGCGACGGTTCTTTTTAAACAAAAATGCAGTCAACTTCCACAGATTTGCAAAAAAATAACATTATGTCTATGGGTCATCCAAGCATGATATAAGACTTACAGGTTGTGATGGTTCTAGTGACTGCCTGTGATGAAGTCAAGCGCCCTGACCTGAGAACAATGGTAATGTCATAGATACAGCCAGGTTCCAGACCAGTTATTACCACCTGCGGGCAGGCATCAGGCCCCAGAGTTATCATCACAGGCTGTGAATTTCCTGATTGAAAAGGTAGAAATTTTCGTTTTAGTGTTATGAGTTTACATTGGATGCTTTACGCATGATCATGTTGACCACAGTTCCTAAGCTCACTTGAGTAGGGAATCGAACCTTACTTCTTACTTGTGCAGGTGTCTCATCAAGCTTGCTGTGGTCAGCTGACCACCTTGACTCAGATAAGCAGAGGGTGTCGGCCCTGAGTTAAAGTGACCCTCACCGACGAAAGAGTGACAGACTGGTACAAAGTTTTCCAACCAGGTTCTTGCACACATTCGGCATACATGTGAAGACCATACATTCCAGAAAAACTTCACTGTGCGCACTCAACGTGCTCTGCGTCAAACGCGCATAACCTTGCAAGCCTATGCAGTGAGTTCATACCAAATTTCAGTTAAAAAACATGCCCTCTTTGTCGCTCAGAGCGGATAACTAGCAAACATTTTAATGACGATTAGCAAAGTAAAAGTTACTTTGACAAGAGTGTTTGAGTGGATTGACACCTGTTCTAAGGTGGGAGCGGACTAAGTTGATGTGATTTCAGTTTTTTTTTCCAACTCAGTTCACTGAAACCTTTATTTCTCTGCAACCTCCAAGTTAAATTAGACACCCCAAGCATGCACATACAGAGAAAGCAAAGAAAAAAACTTGTGTACGAGAAAAGTGACACAGAAAAACACAGACACAGCAATGAACAATAAAGTAGCCATAAAAAGTCAAGGCTTCACTATGCCACAACTCATTACGTCAAATCAATACGGGCAATTCACAAGAGCGTGCCTCCAAGTGTTTGCAACATGTTGACCAATCGCAATGCACAAAATCTGTCGACCCAATGCGAAAAGGAGAGGGTCCACAGATTTCGCGCGTTGTAATTGGTCAATGCATTGCAAACTCTTGGAGGCGCACTTTTGTGAATCGACCATATTGGCAGTGCTTTTAGTTACATTTAGGTAGAGACTTCATTGAGAGAAATGTCTGGCCTGTCAAATACACATATCTCATTATAAATCGTTAAATAAAAAACAGTTTCCAGAAGTAAGCAGATGACGAAGATGGAATAATGGCACCTGAATGTTAATTACCTGCACCCGCTCCGGAAGTAACAGGTGTCAGAGTAGCAGCGAGGTCGTTAAAGACGCCTGGGGAAAACGGTGACAAGTTGAGGACAATTTTGCTGGGTGAGACGATCTGCTCCCGTATAGTTGGGGCCGCAGGAGCTGAGAAAAAAACAAAATGGACAGAAACTGGGTGACAACCCCAATCTTCTCATTCCTGGTAACAGGACACTACTGATCAAGTTAGAAAAAGGACCTTGGTATCAGCATACCAACCAGTAGCTACATAATGGTTGGATACCATGTTTAGGTGAATTATTGAAGCGGGTCATGGGTCATTTGAGCTAATCAGTGTGCATGGTGATCATTGGCCCTCTTAGCACGGCCACATGCTAACTCATGCACACTGAGCTTGTGTTCCAGCAGGTGCTTCTATATCCAATGACCACATGACTTTGAAATATCACACTGGCTTATTGTACAGAGTCAAGTGCAGAGGGAGAAAAAAAAATCCTCGTCACATATCTTGCCTAAGGACACAAGATCCATGACCCACTGCATATGTCAGAACCCTCAGATAAATCCCTAAGAAGACAAGAGTCTTACAACGTTACAACTTGACCATGAGAACTTTCACACTGTCTTACATTTACATGCATCAACACCTTTAGAAAGTGTTGATAGTGGGACACATGACTCACCCAGTATGTAAGTAGCAGAAGCGACAAGCTGCCTGTTGACGGAGTTGCTTGAAACCACGTACAGTCGGACCACATACTTCCGTCCAGGGGTAAGGTCATTCAGTTGAACACTCTTCCCTACAACTGGCCCTTGACTGCCATCAGGCGGAGTGTGGGTGACTTCATAACGGTCAAAGTTACTGCCAGGGTTGTAGTTAGGCCAGCCAACTTGGACGTTACGATTGTTCAACCTGGTAAACTGGAGGATCTCATTGTCTGCAAATAATGATTATAAATTAAAAATTGCAAGTAAAGCATGCAAATGGATGGACACTCAACTGGTATAGGGGTAAGCTATTTGCAAGTAAAATTAAGCATTTGGAGTTTATTTGCTCAAAAATTTACTTCTTTCAAAATTTTGACTTTAAAATTGTTGGTTGATTCTATTTTATTTATTTCCCAATCAGGGTTGAAAAGGTACTGATCTCCCATAGGCCCAGTGAAAAGTACACTTAAACATGATTTAAGAGTTAATGAAAGAAATATACATATGGAATGAAATGTAAGTACTTTTGTAGTACAGGAGAGATCAATATTATTGGGAAATTAATTGAGACTTGATAGAAAAAGTAAATAGGTCAGGAGTCAAATAGTCACCCACAATCAGTTAATTCTTGTCAGCGACAATTAGTTATAGGCAATTAAATTTGTGCCAAACCTGAAACTGTACATAAGTCACTTTAGCAGTTGTAGTGTACAACTGATACAGTGGTTTGGACCATTATGGGCATGCTTAACAGCGGGGTGAAATGGAATATTGGCATCGCACCTGTCCTGATGACTCGCTGAGCAGGCTGACTTCTCACTCCGTCTCCAACAACTGTGTAGACACGGACAGTGTAGTCAGTGCCGGGTGTCAGCTCGTCAATCATTGAGCGGATGTCGGTCCGCGGCAGGGTCTCAAACAGCTCTTCGGGGCTGGAGCCAGTGAAGAAGTACACCTGGTATCTGTCGAAGGCCCCCGAGGCCGAGCCCCACTCAAAGGTGATCAGGGTTTGAGTGGTGCTGACCTCCATGAGGCTCGGTGGTGCATTAGGCCCTGTTGACAAGAATTCAAGGTTGGATGTCTTGAGTGGATGTTGTTGATGTGTTGAATTGGTTGTGGACATGGTGGATATAGCTGACACAGCAAACAGGTTTAAATGTACAGTAGAACAATGCATTGAGAATCTTAATATTCTAAGCTTTGTGGACAAACTGGTGGATGTGTGGATTGTGTTCCCTTGCAGAGGTGGGATAGCAGCATATAATAGATGTTGAGGATGTTTTTGGGCACGCTTAATTCTGTGACTTGTAGGTTGTGTCCAAAAGTATGAAAACACTGATGCCAAAGGTGTAAATGAACTTTGCTCGTCAGAAGGAAATAGCCACGGTGTACCTTTTGCATTAAAGTTAGAAGAAGAAGTTCAAATTTTTGAATGCCTTGGCTACCTGTAGGTGGCATAACAAGGACCATGAGAGCAAAACATTTACACCTGCACTCAGTGGATGCAGTGGATATCAACTGAACTTTCACTGATACTGTGACCAAGTGAATGTAGTGGATACCAGACTTCATCACAGATTGTCATGGCATACTGTGGATGACATGAATGTTGATAAATTTCAAGTTGTGGAACTCACTGGTGTATTGTTGGACCGCCGTGTTCGGCATGGTGGTGCCGGTTATCTGGAGCAGGATCCTGTACAATGTCCCAGGGGTGAGGTTGGTGAAGTTGGCCGTGGGGTTGCCTCCAATGGGGACCGACAGCACCCGCAGCTGGCCACCTTGGACAGGCACTGCGCTGATGAAATAACCCGTGCCAATGGGACTGGCTCCCCAAGTGATCGTGATAGTGGTGGCGGTGAAGTCATCCACAATGATCTCCCCAGGTGGGGCAGTAGCTGTAAGGAGGCCCAACAAAACGGGCAAACTGATAACTTGAACTTGACTTTGAACCAGTCCAGCAAAGTCAACGAGGGAATGCGGAAATTTGTCAACTGACAGTTGTCTCAAAACTTACTGGTACCACTTTAAAATGCCAACCAGTGTTTCTCAGCAAACCTTCAACAATATTTCTCAGAACAAATGGCCATAAACTTCCATGAGAACAGGTGAAAACTGAAAAACAATTTTTTCAGTGTTACATACAACTGCTGGAAAACTATTTGCAACAAGCAAACCAAACTTGAGGCAGTCATAGTAGTTACATAAAAGTTATGCCAATTTGACTGAAATACAAAAGTTTATATTGCTAAAAAGTGTAGTTTGAAGCAGGAGTTCCTGTCTTTCCAAGACAATTTAAGGTTCAGGAATGGTTCTGCGGCAGTCCAAAAACTAAGGTCAAGAAGCAGGGACAGGTTTCTTACAAGGTTATAAGAATGAGAGAATGATTTAAACTTTGAACACTTTTCTGACTAGTGGTATTCTTGCAGGCATTTTTTCTGTCTGCTGATTCTACAATTTTATGAAGATCAGTGATGAAGTTCTTGCAATCACCCATTTTTCTGAAGTCTCCGTAAACTGTAGCTTTCCCCACTGATGTGCTTTGTGCACATGGCCAACTCACGTGAGGCCACGAACTATAAATGACGTAATCACAAAACCTTATGTCACACTGAGGTGAAACTTCACAGATGTACTTATAATGAATGCCTTTACACGCTTGCCACGTTTCAAAACAATTAGGCATGGGACAGCAGAGATCCTAGGCCTGAAAATCTCAGCCCTGTTAGGGTTTTGAAAGTTTCATACCTGTGAAAGCCGACAGCATCCGTGGTTCACTCTTCTGATTTCCACTCACTGTCACCACCGATATGGTGTACTCCGTGGCTGGCTCCAAACCAGTCAGACTGGCATCAAACTGGGTGGCTTGAGTCAGGGTACCATCTGAAGGACTGTAGGTGACCTCCATGCTGTCCCATATTGTGCCCTCCGGCTGGCACCAGGAGAAGTCCAGCCGATGAGCTGTGCTGAGATCCAGTGTGATCTCACAAGTGGGAAGCGGCACTGCAAGAAGAGCCAGAAACCAGTCAACAGTGTTGGCAGAGACACAACGCTGCGGCCAGCGACAATTCTCAATTCTCAACAATTGTAGTATGCAATTTTTGATAAACGGTGAAATATTCAAATATCAAGCAAAGCCCTGCCACTGTCGGCCATGTAACCTCCTCCAAACCAAGATGACCTTGTCATATGGGTTTTTCCATGATTCACTCCTACATAATTTAAACCATCCTTGATTCTACATTATCATCCTTAAATTTAATATTCCAAAAAGAAAGTAAAGTCATTCAGTTCAATTCTTTATTTCATGTCAAGGGTGGAGTTTGGTGTTGATTCACAGGGATACAGTGCAGATGGCGAGATCCTTGTTTCTGCAAAAACATGGAAATTTACGATTCAAACTTGATTCAATGACCAGTAGTTTTCAAGTACTTGTCACAGAGTTAAGCGCAAGGAAAGTATTTGTCCAATGTTTTTGATTGCTGTTTTAAGCTAGCCCTAACCCGCCTCAATCCTCCAAAATCCTTTAGGCAGTTTTGGAGGATTGAGGATGAATGGCAAAAGTGTATGCCTGAATTGTGAAGGATGCCATGCTTGAAGGTTATGGGTTGGACCTTGTGTTGTTTATGCTTAAGTCATGCATAAATTTAGCCCGGCATTACTTTGAAATCAACCACACTGCTCCAGGAAGCCATTTGCACTGCCTCAACATAATGACTGGAATTACAGGAGGATTTTAACGATTGAGGAGCTGGGTACCTCCCGTTTTTGAGAAATAGTGTAAAGATCTGAGGAGTTTGGAGGATTGAGGATGAATGCAATTGTTGGACTAGGGCCACTGGAGGATTTGTGAGGCTTGAGGATGTGCCCCAGCAAAAGGCCCTGGTGGGTTTTAAACACTTGTGAAACCAAGTGTGGGTGATTTTAATATCCACCTGTGTTGGTTGTGAGAGTGGACACTTGGAATCCACTGTACCGCAGGTTTATCGTGACTTGCTGTCCTGGCATGAGCTGGGAGACAGCTCCTGAGTTAAGTTCATTGGATCGCATTCCATCTGTAGACGTCAAGCTGTAGGAAGCAGAGGTGGCTCCGGCCCTTGGAACCCAGGCCACCCCAACGAGTGTCGTCTCTACGTTTGTCACGTACAGCTCCTCTTGGCCGGTTGCCACTGTGGGGTTATGAGGTGCCAAGAAAGATTCAGTGTTGCAGAAGCAGGAAGTAGTGGATTTAAGTACCACTCCGGTTTAATAATTAATAAAATTGTCACATAAATGGGGAATGGGCCGATCCCTGACTATGTGGTGTTTCAGGTTTAATGGCTCCTTACTAGCGCCCCTGAACAAAGATATTGATAAATGGGAAGAGCCACCAACACAGGGCTGGATAGCTTAGTTGGTAGAGCATCAGTACGGTGTTCCGGGGGTTGCAGGTTCAAATCCTGCTCCAGTCAATTTTTTATCTTTATGATCAAAATAGAAAGAGATGGATACGAAGCTTGAATAAACCAGTCAACAATGATTCAGCTCACTTCATAACAATTGCACATCAAATCTAAAGGGTCCATGCAATGCATCTCTATAATACAACCCTGGAAAATGTTTGCGTTTCAATTTATCTTATTTTACAGTTTCGCTTTACTATTACCAAGAGGTATTGCGACGTCTTTTGGGGGAGGGGTTATGGTAATACAAATTTCCATATTTATAGACTAATCCGAAGGGATGCCACACTGCGGTGGCTTGGCGCTCACACCCATAATTCCTGATCTTGAGATGCGCGCGCTTTTGGCAAATCGACACACCCTATTGGTCAATGTGGCATGTCACGTGCGCGTGCTACCTATTTACGCACGTTGTGCCACTGCAGAATGGCTTCTAATTCTGGTTCTCGAATTACACTACAAGCAAAACTTTGATGTCACCCCAGGAAGGAGTTCCACATACGCCTGTTTGAATTTGTGATATTTTGTTGTTCTAAATGTCTTTTTCCTTGGTGATTCATTGTTGTTTGAATCCTTCTTCAGAAATATTTCAGTGAGCTAATTTTGGGATCACAATTTTAAAAAAAAGCCCTATACACTGAGTGTCTTCCGCGGAATGACATCACAACAATGCCCTCAGTTGTCTGGGAAAGCTTAGACAACTTTGAATATTTGAAAAAAAAAGGTCTTTTCAATGCACTCAACCCAAAAGGAATGTCAAATGGTTCTCACACACCTTGAAAAAAAAGATACAGTTGCACAAAAAGTGTCTGTGAAAATTCACTATCAGGATCCTTTAAATGAAATTTGTGTCAGTTGAAATAAAAGTAGAAATGTGTACATCTTGAAATAGAAGCTTTGAGTGACAAGTTCAAGGCTGGAAATGCTGTTAATCATTCATCAGATGTTAGCCTAACCTGTGGTGGTGGTGGCCTGTGTAGCACTGCTGCTTCCAGTCTCGTGTGTGGCCCGCATTCGAACGCGATAGCCTGTGCCTGACATCAGGCCTGTCACCACGTACTCCCTGGTGTCTCCGGGGAGTGACGCCGTGTTGATTGCAAGGTAGGGACTGGTGTCCAAGCCGAAGCTCAGCTCAAAGTTGTCATACAGTCCACTAGCAGGAGGGTCCCAGGTGACTTTGAAAGTGGTGGTGGTCTCTTCCGAGATGGCCAGATTCACGACAGGGGCAGGATCTGGCCGTCAGAAAATGAAACACCGACAGGAAAATTGGACAACTCATAAAAAGAAATTCCATACTGTAAAAAGCTTAGAATTTCATACAGAAGCAGTTACGACAAAATCCAATAAAAAGCTTCTTTCATTTCACGCTTCCGCGTCTACAGGAGAAAGGCTTATTTAAAAAAATCTAATATGCAAGAACAAAATTTATATCCAGCACCACCAGCAAAAAAACTTACAAGGGAATTAAACGACTAACAGATCGGAGAGAATTTTTAATGCAAAATATTATGGAGACCAGCTATGTTTAGTTATAATCTTGCTGATCCTCTAACAGCCAGAAACGCGACAAGAGGAAAGCTGTGAACCATTTTTGAAAGGATCTGGGGTTTGTTTGATTCTGTAACAAATGAGCCTCTGCAAATATCAACTTCAAACTGAAGACTCACTCGTTCGAATGACGACAGAATCCTGGAAGATCTCAGTGCTGCCTTGTAGGACTTGGTAGAGCCTGATGCGATACAGGGTACCGGGCACCAAACCGACAATCGTACGGGAGTACATCCGCTCAGCGTTTGCCGATAACGTCTGTGACTGTGTTGATGAGCTTCCTTGAGGACCCCAGGTCAGACGGTAACCAGTGACACTGACGGGTACCGGGTCCTCCCAGTCGACAAAGATGAACATCGAGTCAGCTATAACATTGCTGAATCTCACAGCCGCTGAAGAATGAAATCATATGGAATACAAACAATGGAATCTGTGCACAAACCTCTATGATTTAGACCTTGAAAATGATAGGATATTTAACATTGTGGATGGATCCAGCTAGGATGTTAACACCATGCTAAATACTAATTAAAGACAAATTCTCATAGCTACATAACAACTGCCAATAACAGGCAAAATGCCACGACAGACAATCAAGGAAATTATGATGAGCGATGTCACTTGACCAAAGTATGCGAACAAAAGGGTACCTGAAACTCCAAGTATGAAATGCCTTTCAAGGTTGTATCATTTCTTGAAACTAATCGTGTGCCTCCATCGGACGTATTTAATTTACTCAGCTGTTTCGTTCAGAATGAGGGTTTCGTTTCTTAAATGGCATACCCACGTGCATGTGAGTATGGACATATTCCAACGACTCAATGCAGACAGAGGGTAACGCTGAGCATTCACTCTGCCGACTATCTGTGTCCACGTTTACATCAGTGCAGCATGAGAATGCACATCATCATGGACTATTCAGTGATGCAGTCCATATCTCTTTATGCTGATGCAAAAACGAGGCTTGAAGTAAGTCAACGACCGCTGTCAACAAATTCTACAATCTATTGAGTCACCACCAATTAGCCACCAATCTCCCGGTGAGATTCAACTCAGATTCGTAGTCAACTTCCACTGTCTTGTTCCACTGCCCCCACTGGAGGACTTACTTGTATTTCCTGTGACGCTGGCCGGATCACTGACTGTTGCTGTGGGGCCGGTCCCGCTCACAGATCGGACAGACACAGTGTACGCTGTGTTTGGCGACAAACCATCCACGATGAACTCCTGACAAGAGTACAAACAACAGAAAAAAATCATCAATTATACAAAACGAATCCTTGGACTTTTTCGTTGGTTCATCGGGTTATCTCCTATACTGCATTTGATTGAATACAGTCATTCCATCTTCGTGTATCCTTCTTGTAACATGTTCACAGGACCCATACTGGTGCTCCCTAGGCCACCCTGGGTGTCACCCGTGTCTGTCACTAGTGTTATTTCCATGTAATTTTTATCCTTATTCATTAAGAGATATAGTCTAGCCCAATAACAGCTCTTAACATGAAGTACCAATTATATTTTTTTTCTGCCATGAGATGAAATAAATGTAAATTAGTTTAGACACAAGGGTTCTATCTGTGATTGCTAGAAATTCAAAAGCAGGAATTCATATCCAAGAGTAGCCACCAGTCATTAAACTCTCTACCTGGTGCGACATCACATTGTTTTAATTATCTGTGTCGTTCACATTCTTTAAGTTCTTGCATCTTTTACGACATACCATGATGGCAATGTCTCTATTTTTGAAAGAATTGGCATCCAGGCTACTTACAACTCGAGAGGACTATGGGGATGCTGTTCTTACTACAACGATAGCCTGGGTTCTTTACAAGAGAATGAAATAGCATCCAAGATACTTGACACGTGAGAGGATTATAGGGGTGCTGTGCTTGTTTCAAGGATAGCCTGGGTTCTTTTAAGAGAATGAAATGGCATCCAAGCTACTTGAGACTCGAGAGGACTGTAGGGCTGCTGCATTGGCTGCAACGATAGCCTGGGTTCCTTACAAGAGACATCTATCAGACATGCAACTGGGACTCGGACAAAAATGAGGAAATTCCCATCTTAACAAGACTTTGTCCAGTATTTTTCAGTTTTCAGTGGTACGAGTTTGAAGTAAAAAAAGGGGAAATCAGCGGATCCGAGGAAAAGGCGCATGCCTGAAGTATTTTTAATTTGGCCTCGTCAGGTCTGCCTTACCTGTACATTGGCCGGTACCGTTCCTTTATCAGTTTCCACACCAGTAGGGGCAGTGACGCTAACCCTGTAGGATGTTAGGTCAAACGAAGCAGGTTGCCAGGTGACATGGAGGCTATTGGCGGTTGTGTCTCCTGAGACTATTGTGACCGGGCCTGGTGTCTGGGGCTCTGGATTTGACAACAGAAACAAGCACGATGTAAGCAGGCCCAAGACGGAAACAACTTAAGCCTTGTTATCCCTTGAGCCAATGCCTTCTAAAGTCCCAGACTTCCAGTGTCTCTCATCAAAAAGTTACAAGATATGGCTTGGGCAGAGCGATTTGTGCATGTACGGGCAGTTCTTGAGCAAATTGTTAGGAAACTTGATAGGTCAGGGAAACAATTGCTTTGGCAACTGTTTTAGAAACCTTGTATGATTTTTTTAGAAGTCTTGTATGCTTTCTGCCTCAAAAATCAGGCATGTTGATATTCCAGCCCTTTCCATGAGCTCGAGGTCCAAATTCCTTTGAAAATGAAATCTTCAAAGCTTGTATAAAAGTCTAAACAGAATACAAGCATAAGAGAGTGTATCCTAGCATTTGGAGGAACTAATAGGTCAATTCTTCATGAGTACTGACTTGTGCGTTGGACAACACGTCGTTCCTCTGGTCCTGGTTCTGTGTCTACAACGATGCTGTACTGTCTCCCAGGGGTCAAGCCGGTCAGTCTGAAGCGGACAGAGCTAGACTCCCCAGGGAGTACACTGGAGACAAAGACCTTGTCACCATTGGAGTTGACGGTGGAGACACGGTATCGCTCGACGTTTTGGCCGGGCGTGGCTGCCCACAGGAGCTCCAGCGAGGTGGTCTGGACATCGCTGACCAGGATATCACTCGGAGGAATGGAGTCTGCTCAATTACAATCAATTTCAAATGGAATAAGGCACTGATCAAAGTTATAGCAAACAGGGACATCAAGACAACTCAACCTCAAGATACGTCTGGCCCAACCTAACAAGCTGAGTGGCAAGTCGCCAAAACTATCTCAGAGTTGAAAGCCTTTGAAAGAATCTTTTACAACGTATATCTTGAAGAATCTTTCACATTTTTTATTATTAAACGTATTTATTTTCATTTTCATCTGGATGCCAAACTGAGTGTTAGGTCAAAACAACAAGCTCAGTTTTCCCTCTCTAATGTCAACTAAAATCGTCACATTACTGAAAAAAATATGGCCTTAAGACTTGGTGCGATCTGATCACGAGTGTTGACAAACTTGGCTAGTTTCCTTTGTTGGTAGAATGTTGGAAGCCACAGGCTTCAAATCTCAACTTAATCAATCATTTTCATTCAACCTGTTAAAAAACGTCTGTTTTGCACTGTTGTGATGATTTCTAGAATGCTCAGAGTGAAAAGAATGGTAGTATTTGACTAAGATTTGGTTAACTGGGTCTTGTCATGCCCGACTGAGTTTCATCCATGTCCTACCTGTTGTGACCGTTATCTGATCTGGCAAACTGACCAGTCTATCAGCCCCTGTCCCAACAATCGTTGCCAGCTCCACCACATAAGTGGAGAATGGGTCGAGGCCAGTTATCTCGTAGTTGTTAACCATTCCCACTTCGTCGACCAGGGTGCGGACATTGTCCGAATCCCGGTAGGCTATTTCAAACCGTTCGTAGCCACCGTTGGGAGGCTGACCGCTGATGACTACTGACAAGGTGTTGTTCATGACAGAGATAACTTGAGGACTCTCAGGCTCTGAACGACAATGAAAAAGGTTATGAATCAAATCTTTCCCACTCTGTGCAATTTTAAAGAGAGTGGAAAATTAAAAAGTTACAACTGATGTTTCTCTGGACTGTTCCCGATTATCCCCTTCAACAATGGAAAATTTAGTGCTAGGTTTTGTACAGAGCAACTTTCGTGGAAGTGTGGCTCCGTAGAATGTTTGGGGGTCACTGGAAATCACTGTTATTAAAGGCATGCAACTTGGACTTTAACAAAAAATGAGGAAATTGCAACCTTGAAGTAAAAACAAGGAAATCAGCGGATCTGAGGAAAAGTTGGATATCGCTAATAACAGCGCTATCATGTTTCTAAATTTGTTTATAAAGAAAGTGCCCTCTAATGTAATAAAATGTCTCATAACTGGAGTTCATGCTATTGCAGGAGTAAATTTTGTGAAATAACCTGCTGAGGACTTACTTGTGAACTGTAGAATAGCATTTCTTGTTCCACTGCCAGCAGACAAGATGGGCTGATTGGACACTTCATACCGGGTTCCAGACGTCAGCCCCGTGAAGGTGTGCTCCAGCTGGTCATTGGGATTGTACTGCTCCTGTTGGAGATTGCCAGATACGTCAGGTAGTTTGATGGCCACCAGGTAGGATAGGAGACTCGGGTTGACCGTCTCACCCCAACGGATCTTGATGGAAGTCTCTGTGACTTCCACGATGAAGATTTCGTTTTCACCGATTGGAACTGTGTTGAGGGATGAAAAGGCAGGACGGTAAAACAACAATCATCAGCACTGGGAATCAAATATTTCTAACTGATCCTCAGGTTAAGAAAATAAAACTATGAAAAAAACGCAAAATTACACAAAGATCTGACACACTCTGAACATCAATTACACAAATGAAACATGTCAGGGCACATCAACGACCTGAAATGATTCAAAGCAACTGAATCAAGAGATGCAGAATCCTCCTCTATGGCTACAAGTTCCATTCCCATGAGCCTGAGAAACTGTTTCTTACTGAATCCAAATTGAAACTTGCAGTTCTGGACCAAGAGAGGGCGCAATTTCCCCAGCGACGGAGGCTCCTCTGGTCGGAACTGAACTTCGCTGGTTAACGAACGACTAGAAAATGCACGCATCACGGTCGCATCGCAACCAACAAATGACCAATTCTGACCAACGCGGCTCTTTTTAACCGAAGAGGGGGTGCTTCTGCTCAAGGTGGATTGGCATGACAAAACTTCCACGGACCACAGAATATTCGCGGACCACAACTTCAGAATTCCTTGAGTATTTGGTGTGACTGGACATGCAGAGGCAATGTCACTTTTTCCATAACACAAGTACGTGTATACCAACGAGGACAGGTGAAACCACTTAAAATAATCCACCTGCAACATGCAATACTGCAGGAGCAATTTCAGTTGACCATGATGGCCTGCCACCCTACCTGTAGACCCGGCTCCACTGGCTGGCTCGCCCAGCACTTTAGTCGCCCCTACCCCCACTGTAGACCTCACAATGAAGTCATAGGTGACTCCAGAGTCTAGACCAGTCACCCTCAGCTCCCGGGTGTTACTGTCGGTGGACCCTGCAAAGCTCTCAACCTGATATGGAATGGATGCAAGCAAACATTGCAATAAGCAGCCTGTTGATGCACTGTTCACTGGTTCAGTTATCAGCAGGTCTGATGAATACAAAAACAAGATACCACAAACATTGCTTGTGTTAAAGTTAATATTGCTGTACTGTATGTTAGATGCTTCGATTTCCATTTGAATAAAGAATTTGTGCATGTTGCTTATTCTTTTGCACCTGTCTTCCTTGGACTCTGTAAGACACATCATAGCCACTGACTAATCCAACGGCTGGCTGCCACTCAATGATCAAGGAGACAGGGGTGACTTCACTGTTGGGCTTGACCCGCACATTGCTGGCAGAGTTGGGACCTGGGGAGGGCGAAGATAGAGAACGGTGAGGGTTATTGATGATGAAGCAACACTGACTAGAAAGTTAATGTGGTTATGAAGTCACGATGGTTGAAAGTCCTGCTTTATCAACTGCACAGCTTGGAAAAATGTTGAAACACTGCCACAGACCATTCTTTTGTACTGGGCCAAAAGATATCAGAGGTATTGACTATTCATTTTAGCTGTTTATATATTAAGCTTTTCTGCATGCATGTGATTGCGACCAAATACCCAATTGCTCTGCTCCACCATCAATTTTTACATTCATAGTTTGAAAGCTTTGGGCAGAGCAATGGAAGTTGTGGACTTTGCGCTGCTCCTGTGTATATTGGTGGTTTTCCTCAGCCTAGTTTCAGAATGGTGGATCATATCTAAGGTGGAGATTTTGTTTGGCATGACAACGTACGACATCTGAAAAACACTGTTCATGAGAGACAAACAAAAGTTGCAGAGGAATAATTAACTACATGTTAACAAACAAAGACTGTGAAGTGAAGAAGTGTCCAGTTTGAGAAAAGGAGCAAAAGATCAGAACTGAAAACTCTACTTCAAAATTACAGATTACGTATGATCATTTCACAAAGTAAATAGTATCCTGACTCACGTGTGCGCTGTTGTATGGTTGACGTTTGGTTCCCAGTGACTACCAGGACAGTGATGGTGTATTCGGTGCCAGGGGTCAGACCGGTCAGTGTGGCTGTGCGCTGGCTTTGACTCAATCTGTCTACTGAGCCTTGGGGCTGGACCGACGCCCCGTACAGGGCATTGGGGTCTGTCACCGCACCCCAGGCGATGGAGATGGTGGTGGTGGTGAAATCAAGAATGCCAATTTCCAGGGGGAGTAATGCAACTGAAGAGAATGAAATCAAGAAAAAAAAAACAGGTGATGGCAGGACTTGGCATACTTGATCAACTACTTCGACAACTTCCTGAGACCCAACTGTTCCTTGTGACAGATTGAGGCAGCGGGACATGCAAGTCCACAGCAATTTCCTTGTGACAGTGCACACTAAACACATCACAGGAATTTACAGGTGAGTTTTGTACTCATACCCACATTTGAGTGATTGCCGTTGCTTTTGTGCACACTCCAGGGCCACTTTTGGGTTAAAGCGCTATGGAAATTAGAATCTTGCACAATGTAAATTAATAGCAACTCTCAACATTTTGCATTCGCATAACGTCCATTTGTATCAGGATAACATTCTGAGTTATACATCAAAAGAAAGAGCCCACTTCACTCTTTCTGATCCACAGCAGAGCAAATTACTGGACATCTGGCATTATGGGCCTGTTTGTTTGACTTGTCTGAAGGCTGGTTCACTTCAAACATTCCATGGGCTTTAGAGCCAGTGTAAACATGATGAATCACTGATCAAGCTCTGGATTCGTGCTACATCCATGTCATAGGCTCTGGTGCCAGTGAACCAATGGATCACTGATCGCGATCCGCATCTGCCAAAACCAAATGCCCTGTAGGACCTGAGTCACAAATGGGTATCAATCAAATCAATGACAAGCATTACTTGTGCTTGCTTGGACTGTAGCCGCTTCGCTCTCCACAGCTGTTGAACCCCTCCCGGCTACGGTGGTCACAAACACGTTGTAGGTGGTGCCTGGCAGTAGATTCTCCACAGTGTAGGCGTTGACGTCGGCCTCCACGAACCCCAGGCTGGTCCGGGGCCCGCTCTCCCGACTGTACTCAATCTCAAACAGGTCCAGCTGGCTCAAGGGCATGTCCCACATCACGGTGACTGATGTCGGTGTGGCCTGTGGGGTGCTGACGGTCAGGTTGGCAGGGGGCAAGGGCCCTTTGACAAGGTGAAACATTAAACGTATTTAAGCAACATGAAGTACCTCTCACAAACATTACTTATCATATCTATCTCAACTGGGTTTGAATATAAGTTAAGTGTAGTTTAAAGCATTTCTTCTCTTGTATAATTTTGGTCATTACTGCCTTAAACCTTGCCAAAACAAAGCAATACAATCTTTTTATACGGCAAATATGTTTATCATATTTTTTTATTAAATACATAATGCATTACGGAGATGCATGAAGATATTCACATAAGTGAGAAACATTACTTCATTGTTACGGTGGATTGTATGAAATTGTGAATTTTGTTCCAATGGGAAAAACTTACTTGTTCTCTTAACCAGGGTACTTTGCTCGTTCTGTTCCACTATCAGGGTAATGGTGTACTCTGTGCCGGGAATGAGGTTGTTGAAGGTTACCACACGTTCATTTTCTCGGGGAACAACCACATCAGGCAAAGAACCAGGGCGGATCCGAAGGGCGTAGTTCATGAAAGAGCCACTAACGGCTCCCCAGCTGACGGTCAGGGAGGTGTTGTTAAAGTCCAGACAGATGATCACACCAGGATTCAGGGTGTCTGAAAACATTCAAATGTTGGCAAAAATTGCAAGTCGCTTTATTCTTTCTTTTTTTAATGCTTCAAAGGTGGCAATGAGTTTAAATTTCTTTCCAGGACTAGATTTCTGTAGAATTAATATTCAATCATACTTCATAAGGATCTCAACGACCAAAGTCTCTCTTGAAATTCCAAACTAGGCCTGTGCCGGGTACCTGATGTTAACAAAAAATGGGTACCCGGTTCTAAAAATACCCGCAAATGCACACCCCTATTCCAAACCACCTCAATTACTGCCACATCAAAAGTCGTCCAAAACAAACTGACAAAGGTTCTAATCTTAAGTCATTCTCATTTTCCTTATGTCAATGACACCAGAAAGGCTTACATGGAAGGATGCGGTTTAATCTAAGTCTCTCCGTGACCTTTTCAATAAAACAATCTTTAGAAACGAAATGGCACTGACATACTTGGTGATTTTCTGTCCACAGTTTCTTTGGTTTACAATCTGCTGAAGCTTTTTATTTCTTCGCATTCTGCCTCGTGGGGAGCAACATTGAAGAAATAACGGCTATCAAAGGAAACACTAACCTGTGCCGAAGGTGTTTGTAAGAGGAATGCTTTCCGTGATGAGGTTATCCCGACCGGAGATACTCTTGACTGAGAAGGAGTAGGAAGTGTTTGGGAGAAGGTTCTCCACACGGAGCTCTAGAGGGGAAGTAGCCTCGATGGTGATGGGCGGCCGTGGGGTGCCGTCTGCTGGGGAGTAGGTTACCTCGTACAGGTCCACCTCGCTGGCCCTAGCCTGCCAAGAGACGCCGATGCTGGTCGCTGTACGCGAACTGAGGGTCAGGGCTTGGGGGGCCAGGGGCACTGTAAGACAGAAATAAGTAGGAAAAGTGACATTGATTGAAAAAGCATAGGGAAGAATGTTGGGAAAGGATTGGGAGAGGTGAGAATGTCGGAAAATGATTGGGAGAGGATTGGAAAAAGTGACATGGTCGCGGCAAGGCAGGAATCAGCAATGCTTTGCTTTCATGGATTGAGCTTTGCGCAAGTGTTTTCACCACTGCGACAGCGAAACGCAAAGGGAACTTGTAAATACAAGAGAAGTTTCTTTTCAAAAGTTACAAATGTCAGTAGGAAAACAGGCGTTTTAACGCGAGAAAAGGTTGTCAAACCTACCCCACCACGGTAAATATTTTGATGATTTCTTTGAAATAAAGTGTGTCATTACGTCAAAGAGGATTAGCAATAGCCTGGACATTATTTCAGTGCCCGACTTCTCCCTTTATTATGGTTTACCAGGCGCTAATCATGGTTTGTCGGACGCAAAAGCGCCAGCATGCCCACTTAATGTTGACCCCTGGTTAGGAAATACAGCTTTAAAAACATCACTTTTTAAGCAATTGCTAAACACGTCAAATGACAGTGATAATGTAGGAGCAGAAATCCAAGTAAGAGTCGGTTGATTTGATTGTGATTGGGGTATTGACAACAATAGTGGACAAAATGATAACTATCTGACACACTGCTTTAAATTTTACACTGTGACAAATTTACCAAAAAGCTAGTCCTGATAACACTGGTACAATTCCCATCACAAAAGACATTTCCTAAAATGCATTGCGCCGAGGTCAGATTTTAATAATCTAGTGCACAGCCATATTTGTCATCTTCCCGTGGACTTAAAACACAATGGTGACGGCAGGAGACACAAGAGAGATACTAACATGCCATATGTACTGGTTATGGGGATTCCCATGAAAATAAGGAATGCGCTAGTGGCCGAGTGGGTAAGGTTTACAACTTCCACACATGGGGTCAGGGGTTCGAGTCCTGCGGCTGGTGACAAGTTGTGACCTTAGGCAAGTCAGTTTACTCCCCTTTGTCTCTCTCCACCCAGGTGTTTTTTAAAGGGTACCTATGAGGGCAGAGGTGGATGTTGTGTTTGATCAGCTGTTTGCATCTGAAATGGAAGCATCAAGCTGTAAACTCCCTAGGGGGCTGACATGGTTTTAGGAATGTTTATAGCCTGGTGAGCAGGGGTAATAATCATGTAATGCCTTGAACACCATAAGTGGTGAATATGGGTATTTTAAACTAATCATTATTACTTATTACTGGCTGTTTATTATTTATTACTGGCTGTTTATTATTTATTACTGGCTGTTTATTATTTATTACTGGCTGGTTATTATTTATTACTGGCTGTTTATTATTTATTACTGGCTTGCAAAATACATATTAGCAGTTGTACAATATCATCTTTTTTTCTTGTATTAGGGAACTGGATTCTTATTAAGTACTGATTCTGAGTTGGGTCTTACATGTTCGTCCATTCTTCTGAAAATCGGCAACCAAGTTGTCGGGCCGGACTTGAACTGTGAACAAGTACGCTCGTCCAGGGTAGAGCCCACTGAGTACCAGGGTAGGGGTGTTGCCTGCGGACGCTGTGACCAGCCTAGGGTTGGAGCCGACTTGAGGGTCGAGGTAGACCCGATAGGAGGTGGCACCGGGAACCTCATTCCAGAGTAAGGTGATGGAGTTGGTGGTCACGTCTCGACAGATGATCATGTTGTTAGCAATCGCATCTGAAATTGGAACACATCATTAGCCTAGCATGTTAAGGACGATCTAGACCCAATTTCAAGTAAGCAACAAATTTTCTTATGACTGCAGCAGGAAAATCTCAGCTGATGGTTGACATATTTCACAGGTAAGTAAGCTAGTACTTCTGGATTCTGTAAGTGCATACATCCTGTCAATAAGACTAAAGGTAAACTCAAGAGCTCCGGTTTCACAGAATTTGACGCCAAGTATAAATCTTAACCATTGTATGGTTATATTGTAAACTCAACCATTAGATTTGCAGGTAAAAGATGGTTTCAGACACGTCTTACTCAAGTTCTGCTACCAGGTCTTTTTTAAGCACAAAAAGCATCCCATTGAGTACCATATATAAGGTTGCATGCAACCACGGACCATTTACCCAGGGATGTGCAACTTAAGCTCAGAGCAGGTACAGTTCGTGTTATGGCTGGCACAATATCAAAGCAGAAATTGAATTGGATTATGGATTAACATATATTCCTGTCTACCACTTTGTTTTCTTGTAATATTTTTTAGTCACGGTACACCCTTTCTAAAAATATGCTGCTCAAGATATTTGATCCTATACATTCTGAGAAAAGTGTAACATGAAATTGGGGAATTGCCTCATTAAAATTTCGTTTCTGCTTCAAATCGATAAGTAAAGAAGATTAATTCGTCAAAACGAATAGATTTAAGCACCGCGTCGTCTCGGCATAACCATGGCTGCACCGTACATGCTGCAAGCTGCAACCCGTGTCATGTGGTCGCGAGTTTTTTCGAGAAAGTCGAGAGCGCCTGCGGGGGTAATAACAATCCGTAACACGCATGGAACCAAGGTCGCACATGTGTTTGCACTGGGGCCGCTCGCGGTTGCACATCTCTGGATAAATGCTCCGTGATGCAAATCAGTAGACAGCATGTTAAGAACATTGTACACAAAGGTCAAAATTAACATGAGACCATCTTGGAAACTAGAGTCATTGTTTAACCTGATACTAGTAGCAGGTCTCAGGGTTGGTTTTGGTAACAGACTTGATTGTAGTCTTGAGAGTCACTCACCTGTTGTGTAGGTTTGCCTCTGTGTGGTGCTACCGTCCTGCATGTCAAAGTTCTGCGAGCTGTCGGCCAGCAGGACAGTGCCCACCGACACGGTGTAGTCGGTCTCCGGGTCCAGGCCAGTGAAGGCCTGCTGGGTAGGCTCTGTTGGCAAGACGGGTTCGGCAAGCATCTCGTTGCCGGTGGGGTCTGTGATGGAGACTCGGTAGTAATCGAAGGAGTCGGCCGGAGCAGGCACCCAGGAGATGGTGAGGGAGGTTGGGGTGCTTCCTACCAGGCTGATGGCACCTGGAGAACTTGGGTCTGAGAAACAGAATAAAGCAAAGGCAGGCAAAACTGAACTAATTTGATCTCGGATGTCAGGGAACCTCTAAGAAGTCAGGACATTCCCATTGGAAGGTTGCTTTATAAAACATCAATTTCTGGCGGACATTAGGAGAAGTTGCTGCATTCCAATTTGAACACGCTTTCCCCAAAATTAGTACATATACACGTAACCCAATACCCTCACGTGGGAACGAGCTGCATTCCAACAAAAAAAAGGCGGATAAGACTGAAACGCTGTATGCTATGTGCCTAGCATTTCCTGATAAAAGTAACTCAGGAGTGTCTTCGTGCCATATCCATTGCCAACGAGCATGTTGCCCTACTCAAGATAAGAAATGTCAGCCCACGGATCCTCCATCTTTCATACCAAATACCAGTAACATTCAAAACTCTGCCGGTAGAGTTCTTAGCGCATGTTCTGAATCATAAACATATGCGCTACTTTGTCTCAAACTTAAACGTAATGAGGGAAATGCAGGCACGACTCGTGCCACAACATTACAAAAATAACTTATCATCGAACTTTGCCTTAATGTGACTGAGGGTAAATTATTAGACAGGGGTTTTGCCCTAGATCAAGGTGGGGTACTTTGGGGTACCCCTTAGCTGTATAACACTGCCAAACCAGCTTACCACAGATCAAGGTGACTGCGGGGTACCCCTTAGCTGTATAACACTGCCAAACCAGCTTACCACAGCAATATTCACTAATGCTACAATCTATCACTAGAAGCTCAAAGGCAATATACAAATACACATGCATGTTAAGCATGATGAAAGTCTTTTGCCTAATCGATTCACAACCCCAAGGGGAAGTATAAGCACAGAATACCTGAATAAATAAGTAAATAAATGGATAAAATAGTTGAAACGTACAACAACTGAAACTTTAAGTGAGTATGGAAGCATCTTCTAGAAGCCTAGGCTTACAGTGAGATGCTTTAGATGGACTAACACGTACATGGACAGACAATAACGTGGCAACTGAGCTGAAACAGTGGCCCCAAGGGGAACCCATGAGTATTTGAAGAAGACTGGTTGACCACACCTGGTACGAGGTAATAAAATATCTATGCGCCTTAGCTAAAGTTACCATACAAAGGAGGCAACTGGGACTGCTACGACTTTTATCTGGACACTTATCATGACCCATGAGAGGAAGAAGTTTGCTTTTTGCCAGGCAAGCATGATCCAGCGACTGCAGGTTACATACGTACTTGTTCTGACGGCTGCCCCAAACGATGTTCCCGCGACAAAGTTGATGAGGGGCACAATGGTGATGGTGTAGACTCTGGCTGGTTGGAGCGGGGAGAACTCTGCCTCCAGTACATTGTCATTGATGGTTGGAATTCCCGGAGCGTTGATGGTGATTGTGTACAAGGAGGCACCAGATACAGCTCCCCAGATGACGACGACGCTGTTCTCAGAGACACTCTGGACAAACACTTCCCTTTCCATCAGAGTACCTTGGATAGTTGAAGGGATCATGATCACACTGTTATATATAAGAAAACTACAGGCAGAACAGCTTGCTGAAATCATGACTGTTTCTCTTATTCTGATGCTGGGTAAATGGTTTCCTTGTGGAGTAATCAACATATTTCTTGTTCAACAGGAAAAAGTATGAATTCATGAAGTACTGAAAGGGTTAAACCAATTTTTCGATATTGAGACAAACAGGGGTCTGGTACCTGTCACCCCAGACACAGCAATGGGTGGACTCCTCTGATCTCCTGCCACCACCACCAGCCTGAATGTGTAATTCCGGCCTGGATCCAGTCCGGTGATTGTGTAGGAAGTGGCACCTGAGCCCAGGCTGATTGTGGGTCGATTGACAGGTGGTCCAGCATCGAAGGAGGTCACGGTGATGTCATAAGAGGTTAGGATACCGCCCCCTGAAGCCCACTGGAGGGCCACTGATGCTGGAGATGTGGCAGTTACTCGCAAGTTGATGGCTGGCAGGGGCACTAACATTTATCCAAGAAAACACAAATACAGTTTCTGCATGACCATTTTATGACCATATTATCGTAAACTGTTAAGCTCATGGCAGGATGTCTTGAAAACAAATTCCTTGTCCAGCCTCCACACAGCCGATTGTGACATTACAATAATGGCAACCAGGCATGCTGTCAATCTGGTAGGCCATTTACGGATAGTCCACTTGACCATTTCTACAAATCAGTCCGATCTCTCTAGCTACAGATTTTGGATGTGGAGGCAAAAGGGGGAATTTTTCTACCAAAAACAACAATACCAATTGCCCCCAATTTCATCTTTGAAAGTAATTTGAAAGGCCATTGTTTGGGTGTTATGAAGTACTCTCTCCAGTGGTGTGGCTAGCGAAATGTCCCAGGGGAGGGGCATCCAAGGGTGCACACATTCTTTCAAGGGGACACCACAAGCACACAAGGTGCAAAGGTTCAAAGATTTCAAATGAGGGGGCCACCCCCCAAAAGTTACGCCACTGGCTATTCCACTTTGCCTTTTGTGACTTAGGCTACTCCCTGAACGTGAAATGAGTGCACAAATTCTGAGCCTGTGACATCAAGCTTCATCAGCTATCATTGTTAAGCGACATAGCGCCCACTTCAGTGCATGCATGGAGCCCTATATCCTCCATACACAGAGTTTCCCTTACTTGTTCTCTGCACAGCAAAGCCCACTCGGTCGGAATCAGCAATCAGCCTGACTGTTATGTTGTATTCCTCTCCTGGGATAAGCCCACCGAAAACAGCTCGCCGTCTGACTCCATCGACAGTCGGTGGGATACCGGGATCAGGGAGGATCCCCAAGGATGTGTCAAGGTATCCAGGGAGGTGGTCGCCACCGCCCCAGGTGATTTCAATTTCATTGCGCGAGTAGGAGAGGATGATGACCTCGGCTGGGTTGGCAAGGCCTGAAACAGCATCAAGGAAGATAGGAAGAAGTCAGGGAGTGTGTACTTGGAGGAATTGGAACTTAGACATGGGAGTGCTGGCCAATCTAATCGGGAACCCAAGTAGGAACAGTCTGGGCAAACCTGCTATTCCCCTACAAGTAAATCTACCCGTGTGCATGCATATCAACTTGGGTACAGCCTGTTCATCACTGCTCATGCCTCAAGGAGCACATTAGGTACTGAAGGCATGCTCCAAATAAATAAACTGTTATTCCAAAGAATTTCAAGAGGCTATCTTTATTTAACGTGGGCTGACATTACTGATTCAGGTCTATCCCACTATGTAGGCAGAGAAATAAACAGGATTCAGGACAATATAATTGAAATCAGTTTGGTCAATATTTTTGACCTCGGTAGGCCTGTTAACCACTTCGGACCGGGGCATTTTTCAACGT